AAGGTCGATAACGGATTAGAGTTATGCCAGAATTATCACGGCAGAATAAGTGAAAGGCACAATAATTTTTATTCGGTATATTGCTGTTGGAATTGTTCGCCTGCGTCACGATCACTGCCAGCTACCACTGCAACTGCCCTACTGTCAATGTCACCGCTACTGCAACCGCTATTAGTTACTGTAGGATAAGGAAGCTTTCTCCCAACTTGGCATTCCTTGCGCTTCTCTGTCATTGCATCTATCCAATCAGGACAAGTTCTTCAATGAATTTAGCCAATCACGATCGATTCGTGTGTATCCCAACATTTTCCCAATTATTTTGGGAATTTACAGTCTTGCTAGAATAATATCCAATACAAAAGTTTAGTGTAATTGTTGCATTACTCATATTTGACCGCAAATTCCCAATACAAATCATGATTGTATCGTTGGTGGCTGTGACTCGTCTGCTTTCTCTCCTCTCCCATTTGAAAAGATGCAGCGAGCGCCGAGAGGGCTTGACATCCCGCAAGGGACAGCAGGGCAGGAGGCAGCGGCGATGAAGTGCTTCAGCGAATTCTTAGCTCTTGCTAACATGAATGAGGAGTCAATTGCTAGTATTGCGAAGTCGCTGTCTATTCCTGATGCTCTACCAAGTCAAAACTTTTACTCTTTGCTAACCGCCTTCTCCATTTTCTTGCAAACTAAGCCAAGTGCTCGAGGAGGCCGTCTTGCTAAGGCTACTGCTGTGGGCTATATGTCCCAAGTTGTGAACCTGCTCCGAGAGCGGTACCCTCTGTACTTGTCAGACAGCAAGCGAATTGCGAAAATACGCGACAAAATGGGTTCAACTATTGAGGAGCGAAATTTGCTAGCTGGCGTGCAGACTGGTGAAGCTCCAGGCTGCACGCTCGGCGACTTGCGTGTTCTGGTGCAGGAAACTGCGATTAAGGGGGTTGGCTCAGGTTATAAGAGCTTACATGACGCTGCTGTACTAACGTTAATGTGGCACACGTTTGGTCGAGCGATCGATACCTGTTTTGCTAGGAAGAGCCAGCTATCTATGGCGGCATCTGGGGAGCTCTTTCTGCATCTAGCTCGAATCAAGACTTCGGTGGTTCAAGGCATCTCAATTTACAAGGCCGCGACTCACTGGGAGCAGTGTATGCTGCACGGCCTCGGAATGCTGTTCGTCGGAGCGTCGGAGCCTTCCAGCTATGTGTTCCCGCTAGTGCCGCACGCGGCGGCATCGAATTTGCCAGGGGAGAAGACCTACAGCCAAGACGAAGCTATACTCTACTGGGAGAACCTTGAAGAGAAAGCTGAACCAAGGAACGAGCCACCAACAAAGCGCGTGAGAGGAAGGCCCAACGTGTCCAAGTATATTAACGACGTCATCACCATGGTCTGCGAGCGCCAAGCCCAGGCCTCTGCCCCGCTGCCCCCGACGCTCACCGCAGGGCTGAGCAGCCACTCCTTGCGCCGCGGCTCCGCAGCGTATGCAAACGCCTCACCGCAGCTTGCGATCCAGTGGATCTCGACCCGGGGAGCTTGGCTGCTAGACTCGCTCACGAAGGCGTTCGCGTACGTGGGTACCACGACACGCGAGGACCAGAGTGTCGGCAAAGTCCTCGCTGGATACCGAGACCCGCACCTGCCATGCGTCACGCCCACGATTGCCACCTTGAGCGAGCTTCTTCCTGCGCTCGAGTACGCCCAGCTGCTAACCCTGCGCGGCCAGCTCTTCAAGAACGTCAGCGGCTTCACGGACACCACGCTCAACGTTGACGCCTTAGTCCTGGATGCGGCGCTCGCGTCCCTGCTCATCCATCTTGACGACGTCGCAACGGCAGTCCAGCAGGAGCAGGCTGCCACAGGCTTCACATCGCATTACCTGTACCGCTTCCACGAAGCTCTGGACGCAACCAACGTAGCGCTGGGAGCTCGGCTCTCGCTGGACACGTGCATTGGTTGGGGTCGGCAGCTTCGCACGGCTTGGCAAACGGAGAACTTCGGACAGCTGGGTGAACGCAGCAATGGAAACACCACCATACTTGCCGCAGCCGTCACCCAGATGCTATCGTCCATCGCAGCAATGCAGCGCACACTTCAGAAGCTCGTCGCGGCCCACGAGAGCAAGGCCACCAGCGCTGACGGTCCTGCTCCTTGTCGCTGTGCTGGCCAGGCCCCGCAGGCGAGCACTGACACCGTCGTTGAAGCGCACTCTCTTGCTGGCTGCTTCTACAACTGGTACACACAGGAGCTGTGGCACACGGCAACCCAAAAGAAACAACAGTTTGTTCGCGCTGACCTCAAGGCAGGCGTCAACATCATGATCATAGCAGCAGGGCGAGAGGTAGACGTACCAACGGCGCCACTGGACCGGGACGGCGTCGCGTATCGGCTGTGGAAGCAGAGTGTCTGGACGCTAGCGGAAGACTTGGACAAGAAGGTCAACGCTGCGCTTGGGAGTATCGACGGTAAAGGCCGATCCAAAACCGCGGGGTCGCTACGGAAGCGCTGGAGAAAGCTGCGCGCTGGCCACCGCTCTGCGTACGACGCGCTCTGCTCAGCATTTATCACCCGCAAAGCGAACGGTGGCATCGTCGACCGCTGCACACCAGCTAGTCACCAATGGAAGCAAAAAGACTTGGAGTCGTAGGATCACGCAGCTTGTATTAACTCTTAATACATTCCTATTCAGACAACATGGATAATCGAATTCAAGGCGCAAATGCACACGTCATCGCCATCCCACAACTTAAGCACAGCGCATGGATTCCCGTCAGTCCCGATACAAAGTCATACACAATAGAAAAACGCTCACATACCGTCAGCGAGCGCGCACGACCTCGTGCTTGGCCGACAGCTACCAAAACCGGCAGCACAACACCCGCCCTGCCGGGTTTTGTAGCTGCTTTCGACGGGTCCTTGCGTGGGGCGCGTGGGGCGCGCCTGGGGGCACTCGGGTCTGGGGTGGTCGGCGGGGGAGGCGTGCGGCACGCTCGGAGCGCGCTGTCGTGTTGGAGATGCGGGGCGGAAAGTGTGAAGGCGGAGAAGGCTGCGCAGCCGGCCAAAAATAAAACCTTAAGGTTTTTTCTTGGCTTTGGAGCCGATAAACCAGTCCATACTTTGTTGAAGTCATTTGGAATCTCACTTATGATTGGCTCTCCTCATTGGGAGCGGCGTTTGGGACCTGGTCGATTAATGACTTTGAAACTGATATTGTTATCGCTATTTCTGTTACTATCTTTTTTTTGCTCACCCCACGATCAGGAAGAAAACTGTCAAGGTCTACGGTACTCCATGGTGCGTGAGTTGTTGCAACCCAGTATAATGTCATCCAACGAGACTTCTTCACGAGCCGCACCTAGTAAAATACCTCTATTTTTACGAACTACATCTGCAATTTACACGTTACTGCAGTTATAAAGTCCGCGGTGCAAATTGGCGCTAATTTCGCTGCGCCATGCGTTCATATTGCTTTACTTAGGCTCTTGCTGCAGCAAACATCACGCCCATCTAATCGAGGGTGTGAATTAAACCGCACATTTTGTTTTGCTTAAGTTTTATTCCAAATCCAAAACCACGTCAAAAGCATCGATCCGGACGCTGCGCTGCTTTATACCGGTAATACCATGAGATTTTGGATACTCTAGTTCATATTAAAATGTACCGAATGTATTAAACTGATGGTCTGACAAGAAATGACGCTGGCTCTAAGCTATCCGCTTAGAGAACAAAGGGTGTTACACCCCTGAGCGTTGTGCTCTTAGCCTTCGCTAAGAGAACTACTTGAAAAAACCAGGGTGTTGCTATTGGTTGTTAGATCGATCGATCGGTGCACGTTACTATGTAGTGATTGAGTTTACCAACAGTCCTCAATGTGCATACGTCCGCATCGGTTTTTTGAGTCATACCATGAGTACCCCTCACTGGGTACCGGTAGTAAGTTTGCAACTAGACTTGGGTAGCGTAGACCCAATAGCCCTCCAGGGCGTTAGGCTGACCAACTGTAGCTGCCACACTTGGGCAAAACTGACTGCCCAGTACTGTGCAATGATGCTCTGGGCATGGGCATTTCCTTTGGACATCAACTTACGAGTAAGGCTCTAAAACGCACTTCTCAGCAGTCTCAGCACCACCCCGAAAAATGTTGGCGGGGTGAGTTTGATGCTGGTTGCGTCGTTATAAAACCTGGCAGCTAAGGGTTCGACGTCGGGTCGGTTTTGTTTTCGGATCAACAAAATAGTTTGGTTCACTTCAACGCGCTTATACAATTACAGAATAACCTTTTATTTTATTACAGTAATACCAGTGTCCACTTCTGTATAGCAGCGTTCAGGGTTGGCATGCACGGTGTCTGTTGACCATTCCCATGGCATCACGAAGCAGTTATTTTGTAAGCCACCCAGCGGAGACGCGCGAAGAGCTAAGGATAATCCTTATTTGCGTCAAGTCATGTGGATTCTTTGATCTCCGGCCAGACAGCGAAACGCTTACGTCCAGGTTAGGAGTGCTGGCGCGCCCCAGCAGACCACGGGGCACAGTTGTACGTTTCGAGATTTTTTTTTAAATCCTGATGTAAGAATCCGTTGGCAGCGGCCAACCCAGGAACGAACTCTAACCGCCCTAGGTTACGCCAGACTTTGATTACGGTCTCCGATTTTTGCTGTTCGGAGTGAGTCGTTTCGTTCCTGATTCCTGACCGCTCAACGCCGTTGGGTGTGCCTTGGTTCCAACTTCCACGCACTCGCCCGTGCTGAATGGATTCCTAGCTCTTGCGGGGGTTTCCTTTCCGTTGTTGCGCTGGTTGCCGAGTGCCAGCCCGCGCACTAGCGAAGGATAGAACGCTCACCTCCACAAGATGGCTCCAACACGCTACAGCAGACGACCTAGCGGGGTTGGGAGCCCTCGCTCTGCTCCGGTTTTCCAGGTCCTCACTATTCAAATTGCAGCCCAATTCCAACCGCCTCTCAAAGCGAAGGACAACAACTTCCAACCAGCCTACCCTCCGCACCATGAACATCAAGGGCCTGTTCGCGATCGCACTTGTGGCGCTCCTGGGTGTCGCCAACGGCGAGTCAGCAGTGCAGGAGGCCGATACCGCCGTGACGCGCGAGCTGCAGATCGCCGACTTCAGCACCAAGCTGGCACTCGCCATCAACAGCAAGCGCGCCGAGAAGGGGCTCAAGGCCGTCTGTATCAACAAGAAGCTCATGAAGGCGGCCCAGGTCCAGGCCGACTACATGGCCCAGACCAACAAGGTCGGCACCACGGGATCGGGCGGATCCACGCCCACGATTCGCTACGCCACGCAGCACATCGCCACCTCCAAGTCGGCCGAGATGGTCGCCGCGGGCCAGACCACCGTGAACGCCGTCGTGGACACGTGGGTCAAGTCTGCCGGCGCGTACCTGTTCAGCGACCTCAAGTTCATCGGCCCCGGCTACCGCTACGACGCCACCAAAGAGTACAAGCACTACTGGGTGCTCGACATGGCCAACGCGGACGGCGAGGTCTGCATGTAGAGATACCGATCTGGAGTTTGCGAGGTCCACAGCGGCACCATACTCTCCTAAGGCTAAGCTTGATATGCTAACTTCTTTCCCATTTCAAAACTTTGACATTTGTCTGGTGTCTGCGGTTTGTGCACAACTTGTGGATGAGTGTGCCAACGCCCTCCTCAGGAAATGCCATCAAAGCACTAACAATGAGCCATTGACACTGGCACCCGCATCAACTACTAACATTACGCACTAGAAAATTCAACCACAATTCCCACGAGTGCCGAGGATATTATTTGATTCACGGGAGGATTACTCTACTTGACCTTCTTGGCATGCGTTGCTAGTACATGATACATGTAATTAGATGATCTATTGTAGTTGTGTGGCCCGTCACACGGCCAACAGCCGCGTGTCCGAGCTGCTGGACGTGCAGGAGTTGACGACGGACGTGATGTGGCACACCATGGCGGTGTCGGTGACGACGATGTACGGCTAGATGCGGCCGGTGGCAGGGGCAAGTCAGCGGGCTGGAGCCACCGACCAACGCTGGAAGTGGGCGATTGAAGTTGAAGCAGCATGACTGCCGAAGATCGCAGGAGGGACGACGTGTGAAGGCGAGTCAAGGTGGAAGCATGCCAGGAGGCGAGGCGACGCCAGCGGAGCGAACGTGAGGACAAGAAGTGTCGAGTCGACAAGAAGGGGGAGAGGTCCAAGTAGGATAGGAAGGGCGCTGTAGCTAGAGTTAGTGTAGGCGACGGAGGGGCTACGGTAGATAGGAGGGAGGCGAGCGGCAGCCGTGTCGACTCGACCCTCAGTTAAGATTTGTTGCGGGACGTGCAGCGAGTTGAGACTAATACATTGATCTGCGCCGGAAGCACGGGTTGCTGACCTTCGTACTGCGGCGGAGGGCGCCGGCGAGGAGTCGAGCAGTAAGGGAGAGGTAAGCTGAGGTAGAGCTCGCACATGATGAGGGCAGTGGACAAGTAGAGCGACGGGACCGTGGAGAGAGACCACGGGGGTTGTGGCGGAGCGCCTCGACCGAGGGACAAAGGGTCCACGTGTACCTACGGGTGAAGGACACCTGCGTCCGTTGCATGTAACCGGGCTAGTTGCGGGGAGCAGCCGTCGGGGCTACCCGACCGTCGGTGCCGATAACGCTTCCTCCCAGTCATCTCTATCCGTCACGAGGTGGCGGCCAGTAGCTGTCTGGTTAACCACTGTAAGAACTGCCTCGTGCTGATGCCACCGCGGCTAACCCGCTACCTAGGTGCAGAGGTCTGCAATCGATGACGGCTGGCTGACGACCTGTAATGGATGGGGCAGGGAGGTTGGCGCTAGCTACATGGTGGTCATAGCAGTGGCTCTCTGGGCACGTCTTAAAGAGGAAGACGTTGCGAGCTGAGTCATTGTGGGCAATCCCCGCAGCGAGACAAACGAGGAATGAGAATAAGATGGGATACTGATAAGTATGGATGTTGCTTATTGCAGTTTTACGAGCTACGGAGATGGCTACAACAGTGGTACGCGATGAGCGCGCGCAACGGCGCGCTGCTTCGGCTGAACGGACGGCTGCTGAAGCGGCGGCGGCTGCAGCGAAACGGCAGAAGCCAAGTGGAGGGATGACGGTCGAGACGGACGAAGGAGGCACGCAGGTCTCCGTGACGCTGGGGACGTCGGAGATCCGAAGCGCGGGTGATACATCGCTGGGCACGAGCGGCTGTGACGGCGCCGGAGGACGTACTGCAGGAAGCGACAACGGCAGTGGACAACCGGGAGGAAGACGCGCGCCGGCTGGAAGCGGTGACGTCGAGGGCCGTGGTCGTCCATCTGGCGATGCTGGCTCATCGGGCGGCAGCGGAAGCCCGAGCAGCGACAGCGTAACGCAACCTGGGCCGAGCGTGGACGTCGCGGGACACAGCGGCGGAATTGTGGACCTGACGAACATTGGAGATGATGGCGGACGGGGCAGTGCGATGCACAGCCAAGCGCCTCCACCGTCACCACCAGCACGAGGAACAGAAGTGGGGATGGCACCGGCAGGTGGTCCAGCACGAATGCAAGCGCCACCACCACCGCTGGTCGTCCGTGAGAAAGCCAAGTCCCTCAAACTGTCCAAGTTCAAGGGACTCGACGACAGCATGCCTGTGACGATGTGGCTGAAGACAGTGAGAGCGGAAGTGCGCAGACAGGCGGCGACGATGGGCGTCCAGTGGACCGAAGCGCAGCTTTACCACGAGGTGGCGGCACACTTGGACGGCGAAGCGCAGCGCTGGTTCGCGACGGTGATGGAGACAGTCGCGCCGGGCGACGAGAACATCGACACCTTGGCGTCCATGCTGAGGGCGAAGTACATGACGAGACGCACGACGCCGGAGGTCGTCGATCTGCTCAACGCGCGTCGACAGATGCGGGGTGAGAGGTTGCTGGAGTACGCGTAATCGCTGCACGAGATCGCGGAGCAGGGCGACATCAGCGAGGACTGGCTGGTGAGCGCGTTCCTGAAGGGCATGAGCAGCCCGATGGGTGCGACCCACGTGCGTGGACACCGCCCCAGGACGCTGGATGAGGCGGTCAGCTTGGCGATCCCACACGTCGGCGACTACGGAGAAGGGTACGGTGTAGGACTGGAGGCAGCAGCGAGCGCGTGGGATGTACGCCAGGCGTCCAAAGGCCGCGGGGCCTCGGCGAGAGCGACGTCGGGTCAAGAGCAGTCGGGACTTGGGGGAAACTCGGCCGGAGTGGTGACGGGGTATGGACCAATGTGGAGGACTGCCTCCAAGCCACCGAGGTATGATACCGAGGGACGATTGGTAGGTACCGGTAAGACCGGGACGGATGAGTGGTGGAAGGCCATACCGCCGGGATACCGGTTGGTACCGGACACCAGCGGGTTGGCGAATTCGAATTTTCAAACGCGTGGCGCCCCTGAGCCACAGATTGGCGCGCGCAACAAACGTCCAGGGGGCGAACAGCTCTCGAAGTGTCCGGGTAAGACGTTCAAGGTCGAAGGCGCAGCTGTTGCCGGTGGCGGCAACGGCGGAGGCGGGTTCAACGGAAGAGGGACGTTTGGGGCAAGAACCGATGCCCCAGACCCAGCCCTGGCGACGCGCGAGGGCCGACTCAGGAACCATGAGCGGTATCTGGAACGGCGGGCGCAGCGGACACCATTCACGCCCCGCACGGGCACGTTCTGCTTCTACTGCGGCCAGTCGGACCACTTCGTAAGGGACTGCGACCTGAAGACGGCGGACTTGGCTGCACCAGGACGCGGCGCACAGAACGCGAGTGCCGAGGATGGTGATGCGGGAAACGAGCAGCGAGCATAAGGGCCTCGGCCCTATCGCTCGCTCGTTCTGACCCGGGCAAGAAGGAGAAGAAACGAGGACGACACCGACGCGGTCGGCGACGGTGGGCGAGAACGTCTGACCCAGGTTCGGTTGGGCAAGACGGGGGACGTCGAGAGGCCGAAGACGGGAGACATCGCGAGGACAAAGACGAAAGACGTCGCGAGGGCGAAGGCGGAGGACGTCACGAGGACGAGGCTGTTTCGGGAGGAGTGGTGCTAGGGGAAGCGGGAGGCCAGTCTGGGGATGGCGCCGTGCGGACAGTGCGCGTGCCTACCCAGGCTGAGCAAGAAGACACGGCGGCAAGGACGAGCATTGCGGTATCACGGGCTGGGGATGGCGCCGTTCGACGAGTACGGTCGGTGCTCGAAGGTGGCGAGTCCGTACAGCGGCGCGTGCGATTCCAGGGCGACGAGGACGGTGCCGGCACGTTGGTCACCGGGGAGAAGACAAGCGCAGTGGACACGGCGGCGGAAGGCGACGCCGATGCGAAGAGTAGCGTCGAGACGGGGCGTAGCACCACGGCGAAGCCCAGCGACGGTGATGTCGTGGTTGGTGACAGAGAGGGTGGCGTGGACAGCATGGAGGACCGGACGGGCGAGTCGCACGGCGGACCCAGCCGAGTAGTGGTCGACCTCGGCCAACTCTCAGGAGGACTTGCGGATGACGAAGGGCGTGACCTTGTCGCCAGGCAACTGGACGCGTGGTTGACGGAGATGGCCAAGGACGGTGACGCGCAGACGAAGGACGCCCCAACCAAGGTGGAGGCATCACCAGCGGCGCTGGCAACTGCGCTGACTGCAGAGCAAAGACGCCACGACTTGACGAGGGCCAAGGCACTACGGAAACGCGTTGCTGAAGCGAGTGTGGTGGCGGCCGAGAAGGAAGAGGAAGCGCGACGATTGCGGAAGCGAGAGAAGCGGCTTGCACGCGATAGGGCAGAAGCGACTCGAGCGTGAGCAGCTCACAGCGGACATGGCGGTGGGCAGCTTGATGCTGACGGACTCCATGCCCAAGGAGCCCGACGGGAGCGAGACCAAGGGCGAACTGGCGAGAGGAGTGACGGCAGAGGCACCGTTCCAGATGCCCGAGCCGAGTGAGGAGTCCAAGGAGGCGCTGAGGTGGAGCGCACGAGCAGCGCAAGCGCTCGGCGAAGTTCGTGGTCGGAAGGACGTCCTGCTGGACGGCCTGGCGAAACTGGCAGTGGCGGAGGAGAACCGCCAAGAGGAAATTGCCGGTGGAAGCATCGTGGGCGAGGTGGACATCCGTGACGGTGCGGCCAAGCAAGTGATCATGGCGGCAGCGGATCTGGACGCAGTGGAGCCCGACGAATGGACGCGGCCCGTGGAAACGACAATCCGCGTCTCAAGAACGAGGCGCAGATTCGAGAAGCGAGTGGGGAAGGCGAGAGCGCGAGAGCAGCGCCGGATCCGTGAGTGGTTGGCCGCGCGAGCGAAGACAGAGGGCGGCTACGCCGCGCTTGGACGACGCGGAGGCGATGCACCGAGGTTACTGTCGGCGGCGGAGGCACACGCGATTGGCTTTGCGCTGCCACGCGCCACCGAGCAGATGAAGCAAGCGATCAGGGGCAAGAAGCCCATGAAGCAGTACCGCTACCATAGTGGCAGCATCTACCGGCAGCCGAGCATTGGCTGGATCGACGAAGGGACGCGGCCAGTACGAGTGGGGAGACTACGGGCAGTCCGTGCACCGGCGACGGACACGTTGCCGACGGCACGAGTGATGATGCGAGAGCAGTGGTGCGACATCAAGCTGGACACAGGTGCGCAATACACCGTGGCCGGCGAGTCGTGGAAGCGCTTGGGCATACAGCAGGACGAGCTGCCGCCAGTGGACTTCGTCGAGGGGTTCACGGGCACCGTGGCCAGAGTGCTCGGAGTGTGGCAGTTCAAGATGGAGACGCAGTACGAGCAGACAATGTCCGTGAAGGCGCTGGTGGTCGAGGGCGCTGCTGACGAGTTCCTGTCAGGAGAAGATTGGATGCTGGGCAACGGGGTGAAGATCGACTTCACCGCTTGCGAGATGAAGTGGTACAGCGGGGACATCAAGAAGATCGTGCCGTTCTCCTGCACCCGTGAAGGGCCACAGGGCGATTCGGGTGACACTGGTGCGTCGGGCGAAGATCGGCACTCGGACCTGTCACAACGTGGAGCTGGCAGAGGCGGCGCCGGAGGGCACTACGGGCGTCTTCATGCCCGCCCCGCGCAAAGAGCTACAACTGTTGTTGGCTCCAACGTTGACGACAGTCCGAGGTGGTAAGATCGTAGTCCCGATACTCAACCTGGTAGGACGAAGGGCGAAGCTACCAACGCGTTAGGTACTTGGCACATGGGCACCGAGCAGCGACGACCTTAACGTGATGGAGCTGGGCGGCGCTTTGAGCTGAGACAAGGTGAAGGAGTGGCTGGAGCGTGAGCTGGGCGCCAACCCCGAGCCGTTATGCAATGAGGACGAACTTGACATCGGGGACATAAGCGCAGAGGACAAAGAGTTGCTATTACGAGTTCTTAGGAACTACCCTGTGCTACTAGAGCCGAGGAAAGGCTGTCCACCAATGACGGCTTTGGGGGTGGAGCACGCCACCCACACTGGCAATGAGGCCCCGATCAAGGTGCGACCGAGAAGGTATGCGCGCAGTGAGCAGGAGGTCATTGATAAGGAGGTGACGAACATGCTGCAGGACGGCGTGATCGAGCCCAGTAGTGGTGCTTGGGGCTTTCCGGTAGTGTTGGTAAAGCAGAAGGATGGGTCGGTGCGGTTTTGCATCGACTACAGACATCTTAATGCCATCACTAAGCGGGACGTCTACCCACTACCACGGATAGATGATACCCTTGACAATCTACATGGGGCTCGGCGATTCACGAGCCTGGACCTTCACACGGGATATTGGCAAGTCCCGGCGGCGGCGGCAGATCGCGATAAGACCGGCTTCGTGACGAGGCAAGGCCTGTTCAGATTCGTAAGAATGCCGTTTGGGTTAGCGAATGCTCCTGGTACTTTCCAGAGAATGATGGACGCAGTGTTGAGAGGGCTTACCTGGGAGATCTGTCTGGTGTACTTGGACGACGTCATCGTCTTCTCGAAGGGGAACATGACGCGACACGTCGTAGAACGGGCGATGGTGATGGAGAGGCTGGCACAGGCGGGTCTATCGCTGAAGGCCAGCAAGTGCTCATTTGAGAAGGAGAAGCTAGAGTACTTAGGGCACGAGTTGGACGCCTCGGGGGTGCGCCCGATGGAGAGTCTGGTTGATAGTGTGCGCAAGTTTCCGGCGCCGACTGATGCCAAGGAGGTGAAGCGGTTCGTCCACATGGCGGGCTACTACAGGCGGTTCGTGCCTGGTTTTGCGAGCGTGGCAGCGCCACTCACACGGCTGTTGCGGAAGGATGCAGTGTGGCGATGGGCAGAGTCACAGCAGGAGGCGTTCGAGCAGCTGAAGTGTGCGTTGACGGAGCGACCGGTGCTGGCCTATCCCGACTTCACGCGCCCCTTCAAGCTGGTGACAGACGCTTCCAATGTTGGATTGGGGGTGACGCTGACGCAGGACCAAGGGCAGGGCGAGCAACCGGTGGCGTACGCCTCAAAAAGGTCAACTCACCCACGGTCGCAAAGTACAGCATCACGGACTTGGAGTGCGCTGCCGTGGTGTGGGCTGTGAAGCTGTTTAGGCCCTACCTCTATGGGCGTAAGTTCGAGCTGGTAACGGATCATACCGCTCTAAAGTGGCTCATGACTTCGAAGGATCTCACGGGGCGGCTACACAGATGGTCGCTGCAGTTGCAGGAATACGATTTCGAGGTTGTGTATCGACCAGGGGCGAGTAACGTGGTCGCCGACGCGCTGTCACGCGCGCCGGTGCACACGGTGACGGCAGCTGGTCAAGGACCTGGAGGAGAACAAGGTGCAGAGGCGGCAGCGCAGGGCGGAGAAGGGCAAGTGTGGCGAAGTGGATCCGCGAAATTTGCAGATCGCGGGGGTCCTCTTGCACACGGCGCCCGAACTGCCGACTAACGGAGGGGGTACTCCGATCTTCCGTGAAGTTGCTGATCCTCACCTTGTGTACCCGTCGGTGGGCTGGATCGCTCTTCGGGTGATCTCGAGAAGACGCGCTTGGGGTTGAGTCTTGGACTGTCTGGTGGACAGCGGGAACTTGTGGCAGCAACGCGGATATGCTTCACGCTGTGCCGGAGTAGTTGTGGCGGTTTCGATCTGGGGTTGTCTAGATCGACACTCGCCGGCCAGGTGTGATCTTGGCCTGGGGTTGCCTTGTGGTCGGTGTGTGACCTTCCTTTCCTTTCCTTGCTTGCCGCTTCCTCTAGCGGTGGGTCGAAGTGAGGGTTGACGGACGCTGGGCCAAGCTATCCTGGCGTCCGAGGTTCCTTGATCTTGGGGTGTAAGTCGACTTGCGTAGCGTCGGGTGGGCCAAAGTATATCCCGTGCCCGGTATTGCGAAGGCGAAGACCACTTGTGAAGAAGGAGGTAAAATCAACTCTGTTTAAAATGTTAGCTTGTTCTAAGTCCTTGTCCTATCGTTCCCCTGCACTCCTGCGCTCGTGCGGTCTGTGCGCGTGCTCTCTAGCTCCCTTGAACGTTGGTGGTGTCGCTGACTCTCTGCCCGGCGTCTGCGCAATCCGTGCGGTCGAGATCATCACTCTTTCTCCAAGATCGCGTCATCCCCGCCAAGATCGATATCGTCGACTTGGATCGATTACGCCGGGGTTTGGCTCTCAAGCACCTCCAGAGATGTTGTTCACCTAGATGTTGCCCCCTTGACCTTCTTGCTGGTTACTATCGTGCCAGACTACGCGTCGCCACGCTTTGCCGATCTTGGTCCACACTGTCGATCTTGGCCATCTTGTTGATCTTGGGTATCCGCGCGAAAATATCTCCATCCACTACACCACACAAGTGACGGACGCTCTGATCCGTGAGCGTCAAGCAGAGAACAAGACGGTAAAGAAGCTGAGGCGGAAGGGACGCTACGCTGGACGAGATGTCGTGGTGGTCGGCGAGTTGGTGCACATTCGCGAGGACGACGGCAGTCTGCGCGTTGTGTTGCCAGCGGCACTATGGGCCGACGTACTGCGAGAGAATCACGACTCTATCTTTGCGTGCCATCTGCGGGTGCCGCAGACGTACGCAAGAATCGCAGCGAAGTATTGGTGGCCGGACATGAGGGCTCACATCAGACGCTGGGTCAGGTCGTGCCGTGACTGTGGCACGAGGAAGTCGAAAGCAAAGGAGGTGATACCTCCGCTACGCAGCCAAGGGGTGGGCGATGTAGGTGACAGATGGGCCCTGGATGTGGCTGGGCCTTTGCCAGTGACTGAAGGCGGAAACCGCTATGTCGTGGCGGCAGTGGACTACAGTACGAGATATGCAGTAGCAGTGGCGGTGCCGAGCCACACTGCCACGCTGTTCGTCACGGAAGCACACAACCACTGGGACCGCTGGCTTCCGTGCGCCACCTACGCATACAATGGGGCACGCCATTCTGGCACGGGCTTCAGCCCCAATGAGCTGATGATGGGGCGGCGCCTGAGGGCACCGAACGAGCTGCTGAGGAGCAGCGGGGTAACGCAAGTCGGGCCGTTCGCCGACTACCATCGGGCGTTGGTGGACAGCATGCAGAGAGCAACCGAGGCGGCGATGGCGGCGCTCGCGAAAGACCAGCGCCGGCGAGCCAAGTACTACGACAGGCGTGTGCGTCAGCACGCCGAGTTTGATGTTGGTAATCGCGTGTGGGTGCTGTGCCCACCACGCGGAAAAGGACTCACAAAGTTGACGCATCAGTGACTGGGGTCGGCACACATCGTTGTCGACGCGGGCTTCGACAACTGGAAGGTGGAGCGAGAAGACACGGGCGAGCACCTGATCGTGCACTGCAGTTTCCTGGTTTCCTGCCACTGCCCGAGTGACTCGCTCGTTAGTGTGGCAGAACGCATACTGAGGGAGATGGCGGAGGAGGACAACGACGTGGGGTCAGACGCAGAGGAGCCCGACCAGAACGAGGACGCAGTGGTGCGGGGTGGCGAGGAAGCCACCGTGGCCACGGCGGACCAGATGCCGACGGCGGATGGGATGGCGGCAGTGATGGATGAGAGGACGAGTGGTAGCGTGGCCGTTGAGCGGTCGCGTAACGCCTCCACCGAGGACGTTGCGGTGGCGGAGATGCCCGCTCAGACGCCAGGAATAGCGGCGACAGATGCACGAGCGTCGAGATCTGGTGCTGCGAGAGGCAGAGCAACACCATCACTACGCAACAAGCAGCGGAAACGACGAGCGGAAGCAGATGCAGAAACTGGAGGCGAGGACGCGCTCAAGCGCCGGCGCCAGCAGGAAGCGAATGAAGCGCGCGAAGCACGGCGGCTCGGCCGGCAAGCGGCGCGTGAAGGTCAAGCAGCGGCAGCAGCCACGCAAGTTGGCGATGGAGCAGATGGAGCGGCAGCCACGACGCAAGAAGGCGGTGAGGTGCAGATGCTGCGTGGACGAGGACGACGAGCACGACCAGCACCAATGCCGGAGCTCCTGCAAGTGGCCACGGCAGGACACATCGTTGAGAGGGCAAGGCGGCGTGTGCGGAACAGGGCTGGTCGCTACGTGCTGGAGCACGAGGTGGAGTACGGCGTCAGGCCGGGCGGACCGACAGACAGGAGGTGGCTCACGGCGGACGAGTTCGAGACGCTGCTCGATGCCGGAAAGATCGAGGGCGATCTTCCAGCCGGGGCTGGCGTGTAGTTGTGTGGCCCGTCACACGGCCAACAGCCGCGTGTCCGAGCTGCTGGACGTGCAGGAGTTGACGACGGACGTGATGTGGCACACCATGGCGGTGTCGGTGACGACGATGTACGGCTAGATGCGGCCGGTGGCAGGGGCAAGTCAGCGGGCTGGAGCCACCGACCAACGCTGGAAGTGGGCGATTGAAGTTGAAGCAGCGTGACTGCCGAAGATCGCAGGAGGGACGACGTGTGAAGGCGAGTCAAGGTGGAAGCATACCAGGAGGCGAGGCGACGCCAGCGGAGCGAACGTGAGGACAAGAAGTGTCGAGTCGACAAGAAGGGGGAGAGGTCCAAGTAGGATAGGAAGGGCGCTGTAGCTAGAGTTAGTGTAGGCGACGGAGGGGCTACGGTAGATAGGAGGGAGGCGAGCGGCAGCCGTGTCGACTCGACCCTCAGTTAAGATTTGTTGCGGGACGTGCAGCGAGTTGAGACTAATACATTGATCTGCGCCGGAAGCACGGGTTGCTGACCTTCGTACTGCGGCGGAGGGCGCCGGCGAGGAGTCGAGCAGTAAGGGAGAGGTAAGCTGAGGTAGAGCTCGCACATGATGAGGGCAGTGGACAAGTAGAGCGACGGGACCGTGGAGAGAGACCACGGGGGTTGTGGCGGAGCGCCTCGACCGAGGGACAAAGGGTCCACGTGTACCTACGGGTGAAGGACACCTGCGTCCGTTGCATGTAACCGGGCTAGTTGCGGGGAGCAGCCGTCGGGGCTACCCGACCGTCGGTGCCGATAACGCTTCCTCCCAGTCATCTCTATCCGTCACGAGGTGGCGGCCAGTAGCTGTCTGGTTAACCACTGTAAGAACTGCCTCGTGCTGATGCCACCGCGGCTAACCCGCTACCTAGGTGCAGAGGTCTGCAATCGATGACGGCTGGCTGACGACCTGTAATGGATGGGGCAGGGAGGTTGGCGCTAGCTACACTATCATGCAAGAGTATAAGATCACATCATTTTTTTTCCTGTTCGTCCGACTTCACGTGGGTAAACCTTTGCATCATTGGCCTGGCGTAGAGGTTCCTCCCATCACTGGCAAGTCGTATCCATACTTGCCCCCCCACCTCTGCTGGAAATCATGGGCAGTGCAAGACCCTCTTCTTGGCCGACGCCGAGCACCGGGCTTACCATCGCTCACTTTCCAATTCCCCCTCTACGCCGAGCAACTCCACCTCCTCCTCCGCCATGAACATCAAGGGACTCTTCGCGCTCACTGTTGTCGCTCTCGTCGGCATGGCCAATACTGAGGCTGCCGTGAGCGAAGACCACGTCGCTCGTGAGCTGCAGGTCGCTGACTTCAGCACGAAGCTGCTAAACGCTGTGAACGCCAAGCGCGCTGAGAAGGGGCTCAAGGCTGTGTGCATCAACACTAAGCTGGCTTGTGGCTGCCGGCCAGACCAGCGTTGACGCGGTCGTGGCGACGTGGATCAAGTCCTTGAGCGCGTACCTGTACGACGACCTCAAGTTCATCGGCCCGGGCTACGCCTACGACAAGACCAAGGTGTACAAGCACTACTGGGTGCTCGACCTGGCCAACGCTGCCGGTGAGTCGTGCGCTTAACAAGGTGGAGAACGACTGAAAGGATCGCGATCTAGGTTGCTTTGCAACAAAAACTTACGCCTACTCGTGTAGTGCGTATTTTCAATACATGAAGTAATGATATACTTTTTGTTCTCAGGATGTCCTCAGTGCGACAAGCATACCGGTACAGCACAGTACATATCGAGCCTTAAGAAACGACTGCGGCTAAGACGCAACTTCTTGCTACCTTTACATGTAGCTGGTGGATACTAAGTAGTGTATAGGTACAGCAAGAGGGTGCTCACAAAAGGAGCTTTTCGTGATAATTACACGGGCAGTATAGGGAACTTGCTTGCGCTTTTACTGTATGAAGTCATTCAGACGAAAGTTATTACTAATAACTTTACAAACCTACTTGTTCGTTTGTGTCTTGCAAAACAACTTCAACTTGATTTCGGTGAGTGCGGGGCGCCCGTACGTAGCATAGGGAGTCTCCCCATCGTGGCACGAAATATTGCTCGGAATCTTGAGCTTTGCCATGATAGACTGTAATGCAGTGATCGACGCGTTGCATTTGACTTTGCCCCGCCCCCGAGGCGCACCTGACCTCTCACTTTCCGATTTTCATCAACCTCCTCACACGAGATCAAGCCAAGTACAAACTCAAGCCATGATCATCAAGGGGCTCTTCGCAATCGCCGCCGTCGCTCTCGTCGGCATGGTCCATGCCGAGGCGGACGACCACGTCGCTCGTGAGCTTCAGGTCGCTGACTTCAGCACGAAGCTGCTGAACGCCGTGAACGCCAAGCGCGCCGAGAAGGGGCTCAAGGCTGTGTGCATCAACACCAAGCTGGCCAAGGCGGCGCAGACGCTGGCCGACGACAATGCCAAGAACAACAAGGTCGGCACCAGGGGCTCGGATGGCTCGACCCCCACCTCGCGCTACACCGCGCAGAGCATCAAGACGTCGACGTCGGCTGAGCTGGCGGCCGCTGGTCAGGCCAGCGCCGACGCCGTGGTGGCCACGTGGATCAAGTCCTCGAGCGCGTACCTGTACAGCGACTTCAAGTTCATCGGCCCCGGTTACGTCTACGACAAAACCAAGATGTACAAGCACTACTGGGTGCTCGACCTTGCCAACGCCGACGGCGAGACCTGCGCCTAGACAACTGCGGGAGCCCTCCACCATTGTAATTTCACCGGTACAACCTTCATGTTAATCATTTCGATTTGACGTCCTTCCGCAAGAGACATAGCTGGACAGAATACGTCCACTTCAGTTTTGTCCAATTATGTGTCGGCTATGAGCGGTGATTTCGTCCAATGATCGCTCTGGACACTATGACCAGCCACCAGCAGCTCAATTCCCAATCGCCATGGCCCGGGCGATCGCCACCAAGACCAAGAAGAAGCCGGCGGACTTCAAGCGGCCCAAGCGCAAGGTCGGCCGCCGCGCCGCGCCCGCCGCCAACGTCACGTCCGTGGGCATCACCTCGCGGCGCATCAACCTGCTGGAGCAGTCGCTGCTGCAGGACAAGAGCGGCGCCGCGCAGCTGACGCACCGCAACCAGGCGCTGCCGGAGCTGCTGCAGCAGGCGGGCCACTACAATGCGCACGTGCGCCAGCGCGCGCTGCAGGGCCTCAAGGAGCTGGCCGCGCAGGAGACGGCGGCCAACCTGCGGGCCAACGCGGCCGTGCTGCTGGAGCGCTTCCTGCCCACTCTGCTGGACGAGGAGGCCGTGGTGCGCGAGGCCGCCGTGCACGCCTGGAAGGCCATGCTACCGGTGCTCCGCAGTGTGCTGGCCCCGTTCGCCACGCTCGTGGCCACGTACTTCTGCAGTGGCCTGACCCACCTGCAAGTGGGCGTGCGTCAGGATGCGCTCAAGGCCATCGGAGAGCTGGTGGACGAGGCGCCCGAGCTGCTGAGGGAGGACGCGGGCCGCGAGGCGCTGGCCCGGCTGCTCGAGAACTTCAGGGGCCTCATCTGCGCCGCGCAGACGCAGGGCATCAGGATGATGAACACGTACGACCTGCTTGTGGGCTCGGACTCGGCGAACTCTTCAGCCAAGAAGGGAGCGGGCGGACGCAAGAACCAGAAGAACGGGCAGAAGAAGAGCAAGAAGCCCAAGGCGCCGTCGGGCGCGCTGGCACTGCGCTTTACGGCGCTGAAGGTGCTGCACAAGCTGCTGCTGTCGGTGAGCACTGGGCTGCGTGATGGCAAGACTGGCGCAGCTGTGGGTGCTCGGTCGGCATCAGTGCCTACGACTAAGGCGCTGCTGCTCTACCCGGCTCCGCAGCTTGTTACGACCAGCATGTTCGCCTCTTCGACTGCGACCACTAGCACTGGAGAGAAGGCGAGTGCCTCGTGGCAGGAGAAAGTGCGCGCGCTGCTGCCTGCTCTGCTGGATTTGTGGCTCGAGTGCCTTGAAGGCAGCACCGATGCACTCTCGGACGTGCACGTGGAGCACATGAAGTACATTGTGGAGTGCACAACCGCTGTGGTTGGTGCCAACACCGACTTGCTGGATGTTGATTTGGCGGATGACGCTGCGAACAAGGAGTTCTTCCAGGCCGCTCTGAAGCTGCGTGAGGAGCTTCTAGCGCCCGAGAGCTTCCCGATGCTGCCAAGTGCTAGTGCGACCCTAGCTGCTGCGTCTGATAGTTTGGGCGTCCTCTCGAGATGGCATGGAATGAACGCTGCGCTCTCAAAGTTGGCGTGTGAATACCTCCGCCTCCCCGCCTTGATGCATGGGTCTGGCAAGGATGCGTCGCAGACTGAATCGATTGAACAGCGCGTGTGTACGTACGTCGTCACTACGCTCGCGAAGTACAAGGAGACGCCGGAGCTCCGTGCGGTCGCCAGCATGCAGAATGTGCTCCAGCCTCTGCTCGAGGTTGTGACGCTCATCTTGGCGTCTGTGTCTCAGCGCAGCGAGACCCCTTCGTCGGCGGAAAACCAAGGTGACGAACGCAGCCTCTTGCTGGAGGCGGTGACTCAATTTTACGCGCTGTGCACGCCCAAGTCGGTGAGCTTCCGCAGCTGCACGGCGTTTGTGGTTGAGCAGTTGGAGATCGCGTTGCGTGGGCAGCAACGGCCGAGCCAGAAGCTGCCCTGGCCGATGGTTATGCAGTGGGTGGTGTGCCTTGCTGACCTGCTGGGCCAGCTCGACCCGCAGCACATGGAGCTCGGCAGGCGCAGCTTGCTTGCATTGATCTCCGTTCTGAAGCAGCTCCCGACTGAATTTGCCAGCGGAGAGCAGATGGAGAGCGTGCTGAAGAACCTGTCTGCGTTCTTCGACCTAGCTGCAGTGCCGTCTCCTTCGATGACAGAAGACGAGAAGCAGAGAATGCTGGCCAGGACACGCTTCGATGCGCTGGGTGCGGCGGATCAGCTGGTGTTCGTGGCGCTGGTGTACCATTTACCTCGGTATCCTGTGTCGCTACTGCGTGCTCTTGCAAGCTGCTGCAAGAGCCCTCGCATTTACAGCGAGGCGAAGAGTTTCCTGGTCGACATTCTGTTCCAGCGACGCGAGGCTGTGGACCTTGCTCACATCGTGAGTTTCCTTGTGAGTACCACGCTCGCGCCTGTTGATGCGAACGCGCACCAGCAGCGCCAGCAACTGCAGCTTGTGGACCACGTGTGCCGTACCTTCGTCGCGATGAACTTGGGCAACTCCCTCCCGAAAATCTTGGCGCCGACGCTTGCGAAGGCCCAGGCTCGAGAGGACATGAACTCGATGGAGTTGCACACCTTGGTGTTGCTCTACCGCACGTGCGTGGCGTCCGCGTCTAGCCGCAGCGTTGAGGCTCACCAGCAACGTTCGGATATCCCTGCGGAGATGGAGCGAGAGCTGGTCAATTTGAGCGTCAAGATTTTGGCGAGCTACTGTGCGACACCGGCGGCCGACCAGGTCGCCACACCAGAGGAGATTGATTCGCGTGAGCAGGAGCGGCTACTCGTGGAGGCTTGTGTGGCGACTTTGGCTCATGGCGAGGCCAACATCTTCGCTTCCTTCGTGGACGAGCTTCTGGCCGCTCGGCAACAGGTGTCTGTCTTGAGTCGCCGTTTGCGCGTGCTCCAGGCGCTTGTGCGGACATCAAACCTGGCTGGAGCTTTCAGGCGCCATCAGAACCATGTGACTCACCTGTTACACTTGGCGGAGCAGCAGCACGCTGGCGAAGAGGACGTTGCGCAACTTGTCCGACAGTTGCGTGGAGACCTGGAGCTACTCGCAGTGGGCCAGCTTAGTGAAAACAACTCCAAGTAAGTAGATAGATGCGAACCAATGGATACCATTTTCGTATACACTAGACGTGACGGACTTCGACTCGGATTTCAGACCATGACCAGTGATGGTACTTCATTCACTCTTCCATTCCAAGATTTGCACTACTGAAGAGAAGACAATGGAGTTCAAAGGCTGTTGTTTCCAGTTGGTCGATAGAGCGACTCGTCCTACATTCCAGGGTGTCGGTGATATCGAGATCGTGGAGTTGTCCGGCGTTGAGCGGTGCTTGACGAATGTGAAAGTATTTTGCCAAGAGACATTCACGCATTGGATCTCAAGGTTTTTGCGAACAAGGAGGCACAGGAGCCACTGAAGTCGGATGGTGTATTGGTTAGTTATGGGGCCTATGGGAACCCGCTGATCGTGGAAGTGCCGCGGGTCTGGTTTCGGTTGGTGGAGTCACACGCTGCTTATGAGGGAACTTTTGTTGACTCGGTCGCTCTCTCCGAAGAAAACAGTATTGGTACCCTACGGGAAGTAGTGTGCCGAAAAGCCAAGGACTATTTGCCAGCAGGACTTACAGCGTCGGATCTTGAAATTTTTCCAAACAAGGAGACGCAGCAGGTGTTTTCATTGAGCACATGCGTGGCTAGCCATGGACAGCATGAAGAAAAATCCCTCATCGTCGAAGTGCCACGTGTCTGGTTTAAACTGATAAATGCCAGCTCTCGAGCTCTCTTTGGTAGAACCTCTACAGACTCTGTCCCTCTTTCTGAAGAAGACAGTATTGATAGTTTTCGGGAAGCAGTGCTTCAGAAATCTGAGGACTATCTTCCACCATGGGTTTCTGCATCAGTGTTTGCGGACATGGACGCTCAGGATTCAGATACCGTCTTGGGCGGTTGCGGAGACTATGAGAAACCTCTCATCGTGCGCGTGCCGGGGGTCTGGTTTCAGCTGGTAAATGCAGGAGCTCGCGCTGTATTCGCGGGAATGACTGCAGACTCAGTCCCTCTCTCGGACGGGACCAGTATTGATACTCTAGGGGAAGTAGTGTTTCAACAAGTCAAGGACCATCTCCCACCAAGTCTTACAGCGTCAGTGCTTAAAGTCTTTTCGAGCAAAGAGGACCCTCTGCCGTTGAGCACGTGGCAAGCACGAAGTTGAACCGCTTATCGTCGAAATGCCGCTTGTCTGGTTCTGGTTGGTGGACGCATCCACAAGCGGTGGATTCACCCATGCCACTGCAGACTTCGTCCCTGTGCCAGAAGATAGCAGCCTCCAAAGCTTACGGGGCGCTGTGAAAGCTCAGTATGTCCACAGTCGTCTCGCAGCGATTGACGCATCTGAACCCGAGGTTTATGAGTCGAATGTGGACATGCTTCTAGAGAAGTTAAGTGACGAGGAGCTCGTCGGTTTGCGTGCCAAGACGAAGGACACCGCTCTCATCGTTGTCATTCCTCACCGCGGAGGAGAACCGACGAGTTTGAGAGTTTGTATTGTACTTCAAGAGGTCATCGACATGACGGTTGGGGATTCGCCTGATATTGAAGTAATAGCGCAAAAATCGATATTACTGGATTCTTATTCTCTTTTACCCTTTCTGGAGAACGCCATAAAACTTGTGGTACAAAGCAGCCAAAGCCATGGTGTCGACGAGTGGTGCCGTGAGTCTCCTGGCCTTGGTGATAATCTTCGTATCGTGCAGAACTGTTGGTGCTAGACGCTCTACTCTAATGCCAGAAGACAACCCACAATATTGGCAGGCGTGCCCATGGGACGCCAAGATCTGCGCCGATGGCACGTGGGTGTATCGCGCTGCCGACCGTGATTGCAAGTTTGACGACTGTCTGGTGGAGTTTCCGGCAAAGGAATCCGGTCAACACACGACGTACACGTCACCGACACTCCGTTGAGTGCATCGATTCAGGAAACATTGATAGTGAAAGGTCAATTTGAACTAAGCTTGCTATTTCAACAAATCCACACTCACAAAGCGTCGGCAGTTGCGCTCTATCAACCCGTCAAGAGGGATTTCGTATCGATGAAGCCTCGGTCATGGATCAAGACGATGGCGGTGAGCGCGCTCTCGTCGCCAAGGAGGGCCTTTCGAAAGGCCAACATCAGCTCTGCACCTCTCGCTGATCCCGCCGCCTCCTCGGTCACATCGATCCCGCTGTCGATGCTAGCTAGACTCACTCAATTAGTCCAGTTCCTCGATCTGAACCACCTTGAAGAGGAAGGACTCTACAGCAAAGCCGGCGTGGGGCTCGAGCGCAAGGAAATCCTTCGCTTCTGTAAAAACCCGGATAGCTTGCCCGATTTGAGTCTCTATAGCCCCCATTCCATCGCTAGTGCAGTCAAAGAGGTGGGTTTCTAGATACTTGGAGATAACTTCAGTTTATGCTAACTTTTCGCCATTGTTTGTAGATACTGAGCGAGATGTATGCGCCGCTTGTTCCTGCTGACATCAGCCACCAGCTCTTGGAAGCTGTATCTAGTGGCCGTATTGATGAACAAGCAGAACGCACAGTAATTGAGATATTCAAACAAATTCGCGCGACCACGCGGGAGTTTCTCCAGGTCCTTCTGAACCATCTGAATAATGTACGTCTCCGCAGCGATACTTGGATTTGCAAGCTGTAAGTTCTGACCGAGTATGATGTGCCAGCTTGCTGCAAGTCCGCCAAGCCGTTTGAGTGTGACGAATCTGGCCTTGCACGTTGGCATCGCGTTGATTCGGCCCACGGAGGACAAAGCCGCTTTGAATTCAAGTACAGCCAGGCAAATATTCCTATCTTCCGTCGAGTTCAGTGTATTAATGTGTGGACTCTCTTTTTTGATACGATTCCAAGAGACTATGATACGGCGTCGAAAATGCGTCGCTGAGTTCCTTATCCGTCAGGCTTCGGAACTTCCATACGATTGTGCAACCGAAATGAATATTCCGGCGATCCCAGAACTGTTATCCCCACCGCTCATCGACGTAACTTCATCTCAACCAAAGCAACTCCATTTCATTCAAGTTACTTGGGATGCTGGAGCGTTGAGCTTGACATTCGAGCAATTAGAGGTAAGAAGAACTGTGGACCAAGGGTCCTGAATCCGGTTTCTCAAGGAATATTCGCTTTATCAGGAAATGTTTGGCAAATTTGGCGAGATCGAGAATCTTGGTATTAACGACCAAGGCAACAGGTACTGATAGACTCGGTGGCAACTGGATGGCCGTCTACTGACCCTCTTAATCTGTGTAGAGCGATCATAGCTTACGTTACTGCACAAGGCGCGGAGGAAGCAGAGCGTGCAAACATTCCGAATGTACGCATCCGTCGACGCAAACCGAGACAAAGCGAAAAACGGCGTGAGGACAGCCCGAAACACTCAAAAACGAATACCAGCCACAGCCTTCACGAAGATGGGACTGATGTGTTGACTCTAAATGGTATACCGCCAACTCTGCCAGAAAGCAAGCTAATGGAGCCCATTCCAAGACGGTCTTCTGGTCAGCGTCACGACGACAATATCGTAGTTGAAGATATTGAAGATGAAGAAGACCGACATGACGAAATTTCTCCACAGCAACTGCATCCGGCGAGTTTTCTACGGGAAGACATTTATACTCCTCACACCGATACGAATGACTCTCAAGCCACGGTGGACGATGAAATCATTGATAGCGCTGCTGCCTCTACATCGGAGAGTACCCAACTCAACGAGTGTTCGGCTCCAAAACCTTCAGAGGTGGATCCTGTCCAAGACAATCTGACCGAGCTAAGTCCTGATATGGTCAAAGCAACCAATCCTGAGAAAAGTTCTGCTTCCCAAAACGACTCGGATGCGGAGGCACAACAAACTGAAGAGGCAACACAGGTCTCGATTGAATTGGACAGCAAAATATCCTCTGTTCAAGGCCAAAACAACAAGGCAGAGACCGAAAGTGTGGCAGTTTCTTCGCCACTTTCAAACCAGCGTGTCATTAACGATAACAAGCCGATTAGCTCAACAAAGCTGGCGTATGCAGATGACCAAGCTTCGTACATGGAGAGTCAGATTACAACTCCAGCCACGGTAGCCACCATACGCTCGCCGCCGTCACCCCGTGTACCTATTCCAACAAACAATAGCACAGACTCGGAAAGTATCAAGGCTGCAGCGTTTGCGGATAATACTCCTGTGACTACAAGTGTGCTGTCAGAGCAAAGGGCTATTCCTTTAACAGCCAGTGAAGTGACAAACAATGAGCTTCTAAATTCTGATCAAGGGGGTTCTCTGATAGCAACAATGCCATCTTTGAGTACCGCGTCGACAGACGTACTACAAAGCAAGCTTCTTGACATGGAAAAGGTAATACTTGCATCAAAAATTGTCGAGAGGGATTCAAGCTGACGATTGTTGCGCACTTGCGCGAATATTGCAGATCCTCAGTACATCCACTACAGCGTTGTCAGCAACGAAGTTATCAAATGAGTTCGAGCGCGCAGTACTCCAGCTACACCAGCAAATTCTGGATATGGTTGAGGAGTGCTTGATATTGGCAGGCGCAAGACACGGAGAAATGGGCGAATGCTTGACAGTCAAGACTTCAGCGAATGCTGAGTTTCTGGATTTCCTGGAAGCGCAGGCAAAGACACAAGTAAAAGTCCTGGAGGTCGAAGTGCGCGCTGGTCAGGAACTACTCCGCTTGCACAAAACCCAGCACGAGAAAGAACGTGTTGAGGTACATACTTGAACAAACTGCATATAGTACCGTGCGTGCATTAACCCTCGAGTATATTTTACAGCTCGAGGAAGAGATTACAGCACTGCGCGTTGGGCGTACGGAGACTGAACGGCTTTGTGCTGAGCTACGTGCGGATCTCCGCAAGTGCCGAAGCGAATTGGCTTGTCACGTGGCAAATGCTACGGATATACAGAGGTACGTCTGTTGTTGAGCCACGTTAGTTAGTTGTTTACCGCCTTGTTTATCAACAGTTACTTCTGTGCAGGCAGAAAAGTATATTGGAGGAAAAACTTGCAACCAGCGACAACCAGCTTCACGCGAAAGATGTAGCGCTAGTGAAACTCCGAGCTGAATACGACAAAATGTACCGCGTTGCGGCGGAGGCGCAGATGCGAGCAGAAAAGTACAAGCTGGGTGAATTCGACGAGAGTCCAAGTAGCCAGATCGAGCACAAGCTTCCAGTACCCATGATTCCAACCTATGACAAGCGAGCCACAAGGGCACGAATAAGTGAAGATCTCCCGCAAACCACGAAGCTTTTCTCAAAGCTATCTAAAGCTTCTACAAGTAAGAGCACTCTGGAGGATTCAGACCGACCAACAGAGCCCCTGCGTAACCTGGACACCCCTAAAACTTCATCGAGACCCTCAAATATCGCTGCTTTGGAGGCTATCAAGCAGCAAATGGCGCGGGATATTCAAGACCAAATCGCTTCCACAAAGTATGGTACCGCGTTGAACGCTGATCTGTGTACTGCTATCTAACTGGTTTCCCTTGTTGAGAAATTCAGGGCAGCTCTGAGGGAGATGGAGGTATGCAGTGCTAGTGGGAAAACGCTGGAAGAAGAGGAGGAAGAATTACGACAGCTGCAGCAGCAACTCACTGCGAAATCCTCGGAGATGGTTGCAGCGATGGACGAGTCCAGGTCGAAGCTGCAGGAGCTTTTTGACCCAACAACAGCATCATCCTTCAGCGACACAAATCGTGCTGAAGATGATAAAATGGGATCTAATAACCAAGAGCCGACTATCTTCGACTCGACTGCATTAGTGAACGAGCTGATCGCTCGAGCAGAACAAGCCCCTGCGTACAGCTCCAACCAGCCATTCCAACACGGGAATGCATCGATCGATGGTTCGTGGATCGTTGCGAATTCATCCATTATCCAGCAACCTGCTGAGTACCATCGGCCACCTCGTGATGCCCAAAGTCTGCTTTACAAGAAGTGGACTAATGACCGCTCTCGCAAGATCGCGCAGCTAGCGACCTACAGAGACCAGCAGGCAGTGATCCAAGCTCAGCAGTCCATGCGAACATTCCAGCAAACGCTCGCTGAGTTCCGCAACCAGCGATAACTGTTGGTAATACTCAACAAGTATGCTTATCTTCAGTATGTAAACCATTTTAGGTCTCAGTTGTCGTCCGCCACTTTGAGGACGTGGTCGATCTGCAATCCCCCAAGCTTTCTGCGCAGCCCCGACGCCGTATTCAGCGTGTGGACGTAGACAGCTGCTCCATCTTGTCCTTCCTTCGACTCTTGCTTGCAGTAGGTGATAACGCCGCCGCCACTTCCTCCAGCCCCAAACACCACAACTTTGACTCGGTCAACGCATCGTGGACTCTCCAAGTCGTGCACAACGATAGTCGGCACCTCGCCCTCAGAACTGGCAAGTGCTTTCTGGACGAAGACTCCAGTGTCGATGGCAGTCACAGGCACTCCGTCCACCAAGAACGGCGCTTGCTTCTTGTGCTTGATAATGTAGCGACCCGGGCAATTCCGGATCATCTTCCACGAGACGAAGTCCCTACTCCACCCACACAGACAACAAGCAAGCCAATTAGACAATTATTGTCTCCACTATCAAAATGCACACACCCTTTCCGTACCACAAACGTTGCAGTAGCTCCCCGCCATCGCCCACGTAGTTCCCGTCGCCTACAAACGCCGCCGCACCGTCCATTGCTTGCTGCTCTCCACCAGCTTGTGTATCGTACTTTACTGAGCACAGGATCCCCCCATTTCGACCATGTCCAAGTTCCGCGTGGTGCAGTTGACGCAGGAGGCGCTCAAGGTGCAATGCAAGGTGGACGACTTTGAGGAGTGGGGCGCGCCGACGCTCGACCTCCAGCAATACCAGCGCAAGGAGGAGCTGCAACGCGCGACGGCCTTTTCCCAGCGCGGGTCCATCTTCTGGGCGCTCGTGGAGGACAACGGGGACGCTGCCACTGAATTGGTGCCCGGTCGGACCGTGCTGTGTTGCCACTGTGAGAGTCACCGCTTCGACTGCGCTATGAGTCGTAGCTCTGGAGAGGTAGAGCGCGGGTATTCGCACCACATTGGGTCGGTCTTCACTCTACCGCAGTACCGCAAGCGCGGACTCGCGACGTTCTTCATGAAAGAGGTGGCCAAACAGTTAGGGCAGCTTCCGGGGGCTCTGGTGTCCGTGCTGTACTCGGACATCGGACCGACGTACTACGACAAGCTCGGGTGGAAGCTGCACCCGTCCAAGATGGCGACGTTGGACGTGGCCCATCCGCGCAATGCCAAGTCCGTCAAGGAGTCCCAAGTGGAGGTGGAGTCTCTGTTTCTTGACGGCAAGCTCGACGCATTTCTTCAGGCGGATAACGCCAGACTGGTTGATGACCTGTCGAGCGAGAGGTTCCAAGGGGGAGAGGCGTTTGCGGTGCTGCCGACTCGCGACTCCCTGGAGTGGCAGTTCTGCATTGGCGTGCACTTTGCTCGGGTCCGGGCGTACGACGAGCTTCCGTCTCGTTGTGGCGTGAAGATCGACGAGAACGCGTTCGTCATTTGGTGCCACAACTTGAAGGAGTCGACGCTCTATGTGGTTCGCGCTCGCTTCCCAGAGGCTGGCGAGAATGCAGCGAAGCAGACGCAACTGTTGCTGAGTACGGCATTGGAGGAGGTTCGCAAGTTCAAGCTCAAGAAGGTCGCGATCTGGGATCCGCCGTCTGCTCTGCTGCGTGAGGAAGTCCGCAGTCGCCTTGAAATCGAGGTTGGTGAACGCGAGGACTCGCTCTCAAGCGCAATGGTGTTTCGCCGGGGTAACGATGGAGCGGAGGGGGACTCCGCGGCTCCACTTCCTCGCTGGCTCGGCAACGAAAAGTATGCATGGGTCTAGATTGATCGGCATGCTGATGTAGCACGAAGGCAACGCTGCAGTACAGTTAAAACAGCAGAACCGTGCTGCTCTTTTGTGTATTAACTGATCCCTACCATTGAGGAGATCACTTCAACGTATTCGTACTTAGCTGGAATCCGGCGATCGTTGATGTGTGTAGCATCCCCCCTTGATCTTCATCTTCACGATGGACAAGTTCCGCCTGGTGCAGTTGACGCAGGAGGCGCTCAAGGTGCAGTGCAAGATCGCCGACCACGAGCACTGGGGGGCTCCGCTGCTGAACGTGCAGCAATGGCAGCAGAAAGATGAAGTGCAGCGCGCCACCCGCTTCTCCCAGGATGGAGCTCTCTTCTGGGCCCTCGTGGACAAACCCGAGGGGAATCCCACAACCTTGAGTGACTCGGGGCTGGTAGCCGGTCGAGACCTGCTCTACTGTCATTGCAAGACCCTTCGCTTCCCCTGTGTCTACCGTCGAAGCTCGGGGGAGATCGAGCGAGGCTACTCGTACCAAATCAGCTCGGTCTACACGCTCCCGGAGTTCCGGAAGCGCGGCCTTGCGGGCTTCTTCCTAACCGAAGTGGCCAAGCAGCTGGAGCAACTACCTCAAGCTCTCGTCTCTGTGCTCTACTCGGACGTCGGACCGACGTTCTACGACAAGCTCGGCTGGAAGTGCCACCCCTCCAAGATGGCTACACTGGAGGTTGACCACCCTCGCAACGCCAAGGCTGTCGGCAACAACAACGGTAGCAATGAGCTCGAGACGTTGCTACTGGATCATAAGCTGGAGAAGTTCCTGGAAGCTGATAACGCCCGGCTGGTGGACGAGTTGTCTAGCGAGGAGTTTCAAGGGCGTGACGCGTTCTTGATCCTGCCGACCCGCGACTCAATTGAGTGGCAGTTCGTCAACGGCGTGCACTATGCGCGTGTTGCGGGTTTTGACGAGCTGCCCTCACGCGGTGGCGTCAGGATTAACGATGACGCCTTCGTGCTCTGGTGGCACAACCTAAAGGAGTCGACGCTGTACGTGGATCGGGCTCGGTTCCCAGATTCCCGTGACAATGCTGTTGAGACCACGCGCGTTCTGCTGGACGCGGCGATGCAAGAAGCACGCAAGTTCAAGCTCAAGAAGGTCGTGATCTGGGACCCGCCGTCTGGTTTGCTGCGCGACGAAGTCCACCGTCTCGTTGAGATTGAAGTGGCTGATCGCAAGCTCTCGCTGTCGAGTGCCATGGTGTTTTACCATGGAAATGTGGACGAAAGCAAGGCGACAGCTCTTCCTCACTGGTTCTGCAACGAAAAGTATGCCTGGGTCTGAGCCGATGTACAATTCGAGGAAAGAGGTGTATACCGGTCGAGTTACCATGACGTTCTTCGCAGATTGGGTGGATTCAAGGTGAACTGCAGTACTTACTCTCATGAATTGGATCGCAACTATCCGTTTTGGCACAGCAAATCGAGTCAACCTGAAATCGATCGAGTTTTTATGTTTCTTCGTATTGAGCTCTGCTAAGTATTACTGTGGTCTAAGCTTGTCGGAGGCCTTCCAATGGGTCTTCACAACAAGCGGCGGGTTCTTTGGTCGGCGATGGACCCACTCGCTCACTCGGCGAAGCTGGCGGCCATGTAGAGCGCCCAGGAGCGCGAGAGGCCGTCGTCCATCTTGGCCTTCTGCAGCACGCCCAGCGCGCGCTGCTTGTCCACCATGGCGAAGTTGGCGTACAGCAGCGAGAGCCACGAGTTGCCCGTGTCCTCGCGCGTGACGATCATCTCCTTGCTCAGCACCTGCTCCCACTCCTCCTTGACGAACTGCTTGGTGCGCACGAACTCGGTGACGGCCGACACGGGGATCATCTGGATGCCGTGGATGCAGTGCTTCTCGGCGCTGAACCACGTGGCGTAGTCCACCTTGTTGTCGAAGAAGATGCCCGTGACCTTGTTGGGGCGGAAGTTGGTCGGGTGGATCTGGTTGGCGTCCTCGATGAGGAAGTACGTCTTGATGGCGTGCGCGTTGACGCGCGTCATGAGCTTGCCGACGGCCTCGAGCGCCGCGTTGTTGGTCACCTTGCCGAACATGTACATACCGAAGGCGAAGTTGACGTCCTCCGAGGTGCTCTCCTGGTCCTTGCCGTCGGCGAACGGGGTCACGCCGTGCGAGTACGAGTGGCCGCGGAACCAGTCGAAGGAGCGGAAGCGCGTGAAGAACTTGTCCTCCGGGTCGTAGTTGGCGACGTCGCGCACGAGCAGGTTGGCCATGGTGTTGAGCTTGCCCAGCTCGCTCCAGGTCGGGTCGAGGCGGTTGACGATGGCCGCCGTGTGGACCCAGTAGCCGTAGTGGAAGTGGTGGTCGTTGTACATGGTGTTGCCGAAGTCGGAGTTGAGGTCCTTGGTCTTGAAGCCCTGCGAGCTCACGATGCCGCCGTAAATCTGGTCGTACTGGAGCTTGTTGGCCCAGCTATTGGTCACGAATGGCGTCATCACGCCGCGGAGTTTGGCCAGGCACGTGTTCAGGAGGCTCTTGTCTCCACCGACGACGGCCGCATCGTTCGCGATCAAGCACAAGGAGGCGTACTTCTGGGCAGCCTTGCCGTTGAAGTAGTAGCTGCCGTCAAGCGGAATGGACCACGCAGCGTTGATGTCCTCGCGCAGGTGGTCGAGGACGCGCTGCTGCTGAGTCACGGCAGATGCGATCTTGCGGGCCGGGTAGAAGTCCTCGGGCACTGGCTGGGTCTCCTTGATCTCCCACACAGGGTCGGCAGAGCCGCCCGGCGTCGTGAAAGCCTGGTACGCTCCACGAGTCGTCGAGTACGCAACCATGCCGTCCACCTTGCGGGCCCCGGCACTCGTGTCGATGGACTCGACCTGGTGCTTCATAGCGAAGTGCAGCAGACCAACGGAGCAGTCACCCGTCGTCTTCCACTTGAACGCGTAGGAGCTTTCGTCGCGCAGATCCACGGTTGCTGCCTGCACGACGCAGGACTTGTGCTGGTCAAGGGTGCTCAGCCAGGAGTCGTCGTCGACAAGCGCCACTCGCAGGATGCCGTCGAACGCCGCAGTGCTCATGAGTGCAGTGTTGCCGTCAGCAGTCAGAGTGATCTCCTGCTCGCTCCGACCGTCGCTCGAGAGTGCGTACACAACCCACTTCTGGCCGGAGTTGTACGCGATCACGAACTTGGAGCCGCGCACTTGTCCACCAAGCGGCTGGCCGTTGACGCTGGAGATCGCAGCACTCGACACGAGGCGCGGGGTGAGTCCCGAGTACTTCATGGAGGTGTACACCATGCCTGACACGAGGTCCGACACCATGGTGCCGCTGGACGAGCTAGCCGAAAACTTGACGGTCACACCTTGGTCGGCCCAGTCCACGACTTGGAAGTTGGGCTTCTGCTGCATCTCGACGGCAGAAAACATGAACTCGCGGACCTGGCCGTGCGCGTAGAATTTGACGGCGCCGTTGTTTCCGGAGCTCCCGCCGCTGAAGCGGTTGCGATACGGGTAGCTCACGGACATGCCGAAGGGCGCGTTGTCGACAACCATCTGCAGCGAGTACGGATTCGGCCAGATAGGCTGGATGGCCGCGTTCGAGTCGTGCGCGATGATGTTGCCCCACCAGTTGTTGGTCGGGATGGCGCGGTTCTTGATCACCGACGAATCCAGGTACTTGGGAGGGCAGAGGCCCATCATGGCGTCCGTGTGCTCAACCAGGTAGCTCGGTGGTTCCGAGGCTCCAAGCGTCGAGGAATTGCCACCACCGACGATGGGGGTGGACGGAGCTCCTGTCGCCGCCGAAGCAGCTTCAGGGCTGGAGATGGTCTCGTTCGACACAGGCGCATCCGACGGCCCAACGACAGGCAGATCGCCGCCGAGACTGGAGCTGCCACTCTTGCTGAACGCTTGAGCCGAAACTTCAGCAACCTGGAGAAGGGCCCCGAGCCCGATCAAAGCTGACGCGGAGATCTTCATGGTGTTTCGAGGAGACGAGTGTAGCTTGGCGTTCTTGACTGGTTGGAAGGAGTCAAAATGACAAGTGAGCTCTCAACACGCTTGCTTCATGCAGGCTACAGGACGACGATGCCCTTGATGGCCCCTCCTTGAGGTTGTGGCGATCTTACATCAGTTCATACACCACTTGCACATGCTTGACGATCAGGCGGAAGCGAACGACGTTGTCGACAGGGCTAGCCTTGTTGACACTATATAGTAGTTAATTAACAGCTGAGATAGCAGCCTCAGTCTCTCGACCTTGACGTGCGTTGCGCGTTAAGGCACTTGAGTGGTTGAAGATGTTGCAGGTTGTGCACACGTTGCGACTTGTGCAATCTGAGTTGATAGCACGTAGGGAAAGCAGACTCAGACATGGTCGAAAACAAGAATGTTTAATGCTGCAGGCCCTACAACACATAACGTCTTAGCGAGGGAGGGGTACAAGTGTCATCCCCTTAAAGATGAGGTATCCTCCAAGCTCTCGCTGTCGAGTGCCATGATGTTTTGCCGTGGAAATGAAAGCCGGCTGCATCTCTTTCCCGTTGCTTTTGCAACGGAAAATTTATTCGGCTCTAAGCCGATCAACTAGTACAATGTGTTGGTCGCAAACAACAGTAAGTTCGATTGATCATGTTTTTCGGTGCTTTGGTGGTTCAACGAATTCAGGTAAGCGTCACTTCAGTACTCAGGTTATTAAGGTTGGCATACCCCAACTTGTTCTGGCTTTGATATTTCTTCGTGTTGTAGGGCCTGCAGCATTAAACATTCTTGTTTTCGACCATGTCTGAGTCTGCTTTCCCTACGTGCTATCAACTCAGATTGCACAAGTCGCAACGTGTGCACAACCTGCAACATCTTCAACCACTCAAGTGCCTTAACGCGCAACGCACGTCAAGGTCGAGAGACTGAGGCTGCTATCTCAGCTGTTAATTAACTACTATATAGTGTCAACAAGGCTAGCCCTGTCGACAACGTCGTTCGCTTCCGCCTGATCGTCAAGCATGTGCAAGTGGTGTATGAACTGATGTAAGATCGCCACAACCTCAAGGAGGGGCCATCAAGGGCATCGTCGTCCTGTAGCCTGCATGAAGCAAGCGTGTTGAGAGCTCACTTGTCATTTTGACTCCTTCCAACCAGTCAAGAACGCCAAGCTACACTCGTCTCCTCGAAACACCATGAAGATCTCCGCGTCAGCTTTGATCGGGCTCGGGGCCCTTCTCCAGGTTGCTGAAGTTTCGGCTCAAGCGTTCAGCAAGAGTGGCAGCTCCAGTCTCGGCGGCGATCTGCCTGTCGTTGGGCCGTCGGATGCGCCTGTGTCGAACGAGACCATCTCCAGCCCTGAAGCTGCTTCGGCGGCGACAGGAGCTCCGTCCACCCCCATCGTCGGTGGTGGCAATTCCTCGACGCTTGGAGCCTCGGAACCACCGAGCTACCTGGTTGAGCACACGGACGCCATGATGGGCCTCTGCCCTCCCAAGTACCTGGATTCGTCGGTGATCAAGAACCGCGCCATCCCGACCAACAACTGGTGGGGCAACATCATCGCGCACGACTCGAACGCGGCCATCCAGCCTATCTGGCCGAATCCGTACTCGCTGCAGATGGTTGTCGACAACGCGCCCTTCGGCATGTCCGTGAGCTACCCGTATCGCAACCGCTTCAGCGGCGGGAGCTCCGGAAACAACGGCGCCGTCAAATTCTACGCGCACGGCCAGGTCCGCGAGTTCATGTTTTCTGCCGTCGAGATGCAGCAGAAGCCCAACTTCCAAGTCGTGGACTGGGCCGACCAAGGTGTGACCGTCAAGTTTTCGGCTAGCTCGTCCAGCGGCACCATGGTGTCGGACCTCGTGTCAGGCATGGTGTACACCTCCATGAAGTACTCGGGACTCACCCCGCGCCTCGTGTCGAGTGCTGCGATCTCCAGCGTCAACGGCCAGCCGCTTGGTGGACAAGTGCGCGGCTCCAAGTTCGTGATCGCGTACAACTCCGGCCAGAAGTGGGTTGTGTACGCACTCTCGAGCGACGGTCGGAGCGAGCAGGAGATCACTCTGACTGCTGACGGCAACACTGCACTCATGAGCACTGCGGCGTTCGACGGCATCCTGCGAGTGGCGCTTGTCGACGACGACTCCTGGCTGAGCACCCTTGACCAGCACAAGTCCTGCGTCGTGCAGGCAGCAACCGTGGATCTGCGCGACGAAAGCTCCTACGCGTTCAAGTGGAAGACGACGGGTGACTGCTCCGTTGGTCTGCTGCACTTCGCTATGAAGCACCAGGTCGAGTCCATCGACACGAGTGCCGGGGCCCGCAAGGTGGACGGCATGGTTGCGTACTCGACGACTCGTGGAGCGTACCAGGCTTTCACGACGCCGGGCGGCTCTGCCGACCCTGTGTGGGAGATCAAGGAGACCCAGCCAGTGCCCGAGGACTTCTACCCGGCCCGCAAGATCGCATCTGCCGTGACTCAGCAGCAGCGCGTCCTCGACCACCTGCGCGAGGACATCAACGCTGCGTGGTCCATTCCGCTTGACGGCAGCTACTACTTCAACGGCAAGGCTGCCCAGAAGTACGCCTCCTTGTGCTTGATCGCGAACGATGCGGCCGTCGTCGGTGGAGACAAGAGCCTCCTGAACACGTGCCTGGCCAAACTCCGCGGCGTGATGACGCCATTCGTGACCAATAGCTGGGCCAACAAGCTCCAGTACGACCAGATTTACGGCGGCATCGTGAGCTCGCAGGGCTTCAAGACCAAGGACCTCAACTCCGACTTCGGCAACACCATGTACAACGACCACCACTTCCACTACGGCTACTGGGTCCACACGGCGGCCATCGTCAACCGCCTCGACCCGACCTGGAGCGAGCTGGGCAAGCTCAACACCATGGCCAACCTGCTCGTGCGCGACGTCGCCAACTACGACCCGGAGGACAAGTTCTTCACGCGCTTCCGCTCCTTCGACTGGTTCCGCGGCCACTCGTACTCGCACGGCGTGACCCCGTTCGCCGACGGCAAGGACCAGGAGAGCACCTCGGAGGACGTCAACTTCGCCTTCGGTATGTACATGTTCGGCAAGGTGACCAACAACGCGGCGCTCGAGGCCGTCGGCAAGCTCATGACGCGCGTCAACGCGCACGCCATCAAGACGTACTTCCTCATCGAGGACGCCAACCAGATCCACCCGACCAACTTCCGCCCCAACAAGGTCACGGGCATCTTCTTCGACAACAAGGTGGACTACGCCACGTGGTTCAGCGCCGAGAAGCACTGCATCCACGGCATCCAGATGATCCCCGTGTCGGCCGTCACCGAGTTCGTGCGCACCAAGCAGTTCGTCAAGGAGGAGTGGGAGCAGGTGCTGAGCAAGGAGATGATCGTCACGCGCGAGGACACGGGCAACTCGTGGCTCTCGCTGCTGTACGCCAACTTCGCCATGGTGGACAAGCAGCGCGCGCTGGGCGTGCTGCAGAAGGCCAAGATGGACGACGGCCTCTCGCGCTCCTGGGCGCTCTACATGGCCGCCAGCTTCGCCGAGTGAGCGAGTGGGTCCATCGCCGACCAAAGAACCCGCCGCTTGTTGTGAAGACCCATTGGAAGGCCTCCGACAAGCTTAGTCGTCGTCAACTTCCTAGTCGCAACTTTTGCTTTCTTTTCGTTCCCTGCATAATTATCTCCTGGTAAACAAAGTTCACTTGCTAAAACGCCACAAAACACGCTTAAAAAATATATCGGTTAAGAAAAACATGTACTTGTACGCTAGACAACTGACAGCACACCGCTCGGCTTACCGTTCGGCTGCACAACACTCGAAGTAGATATTAGCGGAAGCTTTTCTGCTTCGGAATGTAATCGTACCTAGTCGAGAAGGGCACTAAACCCTGCTAAGTCCGTAAATCTTGGGCGCTAAACCTTGTGTGGTGCCCAAATCTTTCCTTGGTCAGAAAGAGACCCCACCACCTCCGCTCGACGCACGACCATGAACGGCATGATGGTACGTGCGCCCGCCCCCTTCCTCCTCCTCCTATGGCCCGCCAGCCTGCTAACCCTCCGTCTTGCGCATCGAGCAGCAGCCGCAGATCATCCTGCTGAAGGAAGGCACGGACACGAGCCAGGGCAAGGCCCAGCTCATCAGCAACATCAACGCGTGCCAGGCCGTGATGGAGGCCGTGCGCACGACGCTCGGCCCGCGCGGCATGGACAAGCTGATCCACACGGGCGGCAAGACCACCATCTCCAACGACGGCGCCACCATCATGAACCTGCTGGACGTGGTGCACCCGGCGGCCAAGACGCTCGTGGACATCTCGCTCTCGCAGGACGCCGAGGTGGGCGACGGCACCACGTCCGTCGTGCTACTGGGCGCCGAGTTCATGCGCCAGGCCAAGCCCTTCGTCGAGGAGAACATGCACCCGCAGATGATCATCAAGAGCTTCCGCAAGGCCGGCCAGCTGGCCGTGCAGAAGATCAAGGAGATCGAGATCCGCGTGGCCGACTCGGACGAGGTGGGCCGCCGCCAGATGCTGGAGCGCGTCAGCGGCACGGCGCTCAACTCGAAGCTCATCTCGCGCCACAAGCAGTTCTTCTCCCCCATGGTAAGGGCGCTTGGCTGTCCACTGTCACAGATTTTGTGCTGACATTAGTTATTTGATTTTTGTGTAGATTGTCGACGCGGTGCTGAGTCTGGACGAGGGCCTCGACATCAGCATGGTCGGTGTCAAGAAGGTGCCCGGCGGATCGGTCACCGACTCGTTCCTGGTGAAGGGCGTGGCCTTCAAGAAGACGTTCTCGTACGCCGGTTTCGAGCAGCAGCCCAAGACCTTCGTGAACCCCAAGATCCTGCTGCTGAACGTCGAGCTGGAGCTCAAGTCGGAGAAGGAGAACGCCGAGGTGCGTCTGGACGACCCCACCAAGTACCAGTCGATTGTGGACGCGGAGTGGAACATTATCTATGAGAAGCTGGAGCTGTGCGTGAAGAGCGGCGCCCAGATTGTTCTGTCCAAGCTGCCTGTGGGTGACCTGGCGACGCAGTACTTCGCCGACCGCGGCCTGTTCTGCGCAGGTCGTGTGGCTCAGGACGACATGGAGCGCACCCAGCGTGCCACCGGTGGTGTGGTGCAGACTTCGGTGCACGACATGAACCCGTCGGTGCTCGGCTCGTGCGGCCGCTTTGAGGAGCGTCAGGTCGGCAACGAGCGATACAACATCTTTATGGAGTGTGCCGAGGCCAAGAGCGCCACGATCGTGCTGCGCGGTGGTGCCGAGCAGTTCATCGAGGAGGCTCACCGATCGGTGCACGACGCGCTCATGGTTGTGAAGCGCGCCGTGGCTTCGTCTACGGTTGTGGCTGGCGGTGGCGCCATTGAGATGGAGATCTCGCGCCACCTGCGCCAGTACGCGCGCACCATCGAGGGCAAGGCGCAGCTGCTGGTGAACGCCTACGCCAAGGCGTTCGAGATTATCCCTCGCCAGATCGCCGAGAACGCCGGCCACGACGCGACCGACATTCTCAACCGCCTGCGCCAGAAGCACTTCAAGGATCCGGAGGAGGGCAAGTGGTTCGGCGTCGACATCACTACGGGCGGCATCTGTGACACATACGAGTCTCACGTGTGGGAACCTGCGGCCAACAAGATTAACTCGATCGCGGCGGCGACGGAGGCAGCATGCCTCATTCTGTCCGTGGACGAGACCGTGCGTAACCCCAAGTCGGAGCAGCCGCAGGCCGGCCCCGCTGGTGGCGCGCCTATGAGCGCGGCCATGGGCGGCCAGGGCATGCGTGGCATGATGGGCGGCGGCCGGGGAGGCCTCAGCGGCATGGGCCGCGGTGTGCGCGCTTTCCGCGGCAAGGGTGGCGCATAAGCGCCGCGCATGCCGATATTTGCTGCGCCTTTAGGTAGAGACAACGCGGCCTGACCCCGACCCGGGAGGCTGCGCGAGGGCTTGTGACTTTGACTTTGAGGAGGGAGAGAGCCAGGCAAGAAACCGTGTAGGTGTGGGGGCCGTGGTAAAGTTGCGGCTGACGTCGACACAAAAACATACTTATTGAGTACAAGTTCACTGCCAAACTACGATCGCAAACGTCTCGTTACGCAGAGCTACAAGGCTGCTACGTGCGCTGGAAGAGCACGCTGAGGGCTTGACAATTGCTTTGACCCTGAAGTAGCAACCACGTTGAAGTTGGTGACCAATCTTGCGAATCTTTGAGCGACGCTTGGGTTAAGATCTTTCAAGTGCTGGACGCCGTTCATTTTCGGACTCTCCGGTCACTACCCAAGCGTCTAGGAAGCCTCGCTCGCCTCGCCCCTCGCAAGCACCATGTTGAGTACGTCCTAGCTAATGAGGCGGTCTCAATGCAAGCTCATGGAGCTAACGCTGTAACTTGAACTACAGGTCGCATGCTCAAGTCCAACGCCCGCTATATCGCGGGGGCCGGCGCCGTGACGCTCGGCCTGGCCGCGTCGACCATGGTGCAGCCCAAGACCGCGGAGAGCTCCAACTCGACGGCCGAAGTGCTGCTGGACATCTCGGGCCGCCTCAAGAACATCGAGAGGGACCTGGGCATCGGCGGCGGCGGCGCTGCGGCCGCCAAGTCCAAGTACAACAACTACCCCGTGCTCACGCCCAAGCACAAGAGCCTCATGGCCAAGCACCTGACGCCCGAGATCTACGACAAGCTCAAGGACCGCAAGACGGCCAGCGGCTACACAATCGACCAGGCCATCCAGACGGGCATCGACACGCCCCACCTAGGCGTGGGCGTCGTGGCCGGCGACGAGGAGTCGTACCATACCTTCAAGGACCTCATGGACCCCGTCATCGAAGGCTGGCACGGCTACAAGCCCACGGACACCCACAAGACGGACATCGACCCGTCCAAGATCCGCAACGGCAAGATCCCGGACAGCTACGTCATCTCGACCCGCATCCGTGCTGGCCGCAGTGTGCGTGGCCTGGCACTGCCGCCTGGAACTTCGCGTGGCGAGCGTCGCGAGGTGGAGCGCGTGCTGTCCAAGGCCCTGAGCAACCTCACCAAGGACCTGGCGGGCAAGTACTACCCGCTGAGCAAGATGACCAAGGAGGAGGAGCAGCAACTCATCGACGACCACTTCCTCTTCCAGAAGCCCGGTGGTGGCACCTTGCTGACCAACGCTGGCGCCGCGCGCGACTGGCCCGATGGGCGTGGCATCTTCCACAACAACAACAAGACCTTCCTGGTCTGGGTGAACGAGGAGGACCACATGCGCGTGATCGCCATGCAGAACGGTGGCAACATCCAGGAGGTGTTCGACCGCTTCAGCCGTGGTGTGTCGGACGTCGAGAAGGTCGTCAAGGGCGAGGGCCGCGAGTACATGTACGACAACCACCTGGGCTTCGTGTGCACGTGCCCGTCCAACCTAGGCACGGGTCTGCGCGCTAGCGTCATGATCAAGTTCCCGCACCTGTCCAAGGAGTCCGAGCGCTTCTACAGCTTGTGCTCTGCTCTGGGCCTCCAAGCTCGCGGTTCGAAGGGCGAGCACTCGCCCCCTGGCCCCGGTGGTGTCTACGACGTCTCCAACAAGGCCCGCATCGGCTTCTCGGAAGTGGAGCTGGTGCAGACCATGATCGACGGCATCTGGAAGCTCATTGAGCTCGAGGAGGACCTGAAGAAGGGCCGCTCGATCGACAAGAAGGTCGCCGCCATCTTGAAGTAGGCCATGCATGCAACGCGAGACTTGAGACCATCAAGCAGCGCTCTTGTGAATGTTGAAAGGGTGGGGAGGTGTGACAGATGAAGCCTCACCGCATCAGTCAGGGAGGAAATCTACGCGCAGTTGAGAGATAACAACATGAGCTGAAAAACAAATAAAAAGTGAAGTCTCTTCATCACGCAATCGTCTTGCATTACCAGCGCGTGCTCTCTATCACTCCAGCAGCAATACAATCCAAACCTCCACGATGACGAGCTGCGAGTGCCTGCTTTCGTGCAAATCTACCTATGCCTGTTGGCGGCCACTGCGCTGCCTCAAGGCGAGCGGCCTGACGCTGAAAGGTTAAGCTTAGTATTTACAGAGCCTTGGTGACGACCTCCATGTGCTTGACGACCTCCAGCACCGACTTGAAGCTGAAGGGCTCCGTGGCGGCCATATCGGCCAGCACCTTGCGGTTCAGCTCGATGCCCGAGCCGTTCATCTTGCCGTACAGCTTCGAGTACGAGAGACCCTCCTGACGCGCGCCGGCGTTGATCTTCTGGATCCACAGCGAGCGCATGTCCTGCGAGCATTGGAAAATAAAATATAATAATAATAAGTACGAGAAGCTTGCAGCTGGCAAAAAATAATTGCGTCTTCTGTACGTACGCGCTTCTTCTGCTTGCGGTCACGGTACTGGTACTGCAGACCCTTCTCCACGCGGTTGATGGCCGTGCGGTAGCACGAGTTGGCGCGGCCGCGGTAGCCCTTGGCCATGGCCAGGATCTTCTTGTGCTTCGCCCACGACATGCTGCTCTGACTGCTACGTACTGCTGCCTTCCTTCCTAGTCCGAGTCTGCGGCGGGGAGCTCCTTTGGTGACCACTGCCGTCTGGTCCGATTTATGTCCAATCAGAGGAATACTTGGATATGATTGGTCGAAAGTATTATTGCGGGAGTTATTGAGCCGCACACAGCACAGCACAACCGACGCCCATGATGCTGTATCGCCTGGGTCGCCGTGCGGCCGCCACTTCCGTCCAGCGATCGCTGCGCCGAGGAGCGATGACGCAGCCGTGTGGCCAGCGCCGCTCCTTCCGCTTCAGCTCGGCGGCGGGCAAGCCGGCGGCTTCGGACGGCAACAGCCGCGTGGCCAGCGCCGCGTCCTTCTTCCTGGACGCCAAGGCCGCGTGCAAGGGCAAGCGCTGCGCGCTGGGCAAGGACTACAGCGGCATCGGCGCCAACCCGGCCACGTGCGGTGAAGACTCGTTCTTCCTCACGCCCGACGTGGTGGGCGTGGCCGACGGCGTGGGCGGCTGGAACGAGAACGGCGTGGACCCGGGCAAGATCTCGCGCAGCCTCATGCGCAACGCGGCGGTGTTCGTGCGCCAGCAGACGGCCAGCAACGAGAGCGCCACTACGCAGCAGGTGCTCGCGCATGGCTACAACCAGGCGCTGCTGGACGACGAGGTGGAGGCCGGCAGCACGACCGCGTGCATTGTGAGGCTCAAGCAGTCGCCCGAGGGCAAGCCCGTGCTCGAGTACTCGAACCTTGGAGACTCGGGCTTCGTGGTCATTCGGAACGGAGAAATCATCTTCCGCAGTAAATTCCAGTACTACGGGCGCGCGCCGTATCAGCTGGCGAAGATCCCGCTGCGGTTCAAGCAGTACGGCGCCATTGAGAACCACCCCGATGATGTACGTCTTGCTGCGTTGATCCCGAGATGGTGTTTGTGTGTGATGGTAGACAGAATTTACTTATCGATGTTGTGTCGTTGGGCTGGTCTACTGTAGGCGGACTCGGGCGAAATCGACGTACAGGACGGTGACCTTGTCGTGCTTGCAACCGATGGTGTTTGGGATAATTTCGCGCCTGACCTGCAGAAGGCGCCTTCGCAGTTCCCGGTGAGTCCCTGTGTGTAGAGTTGGCCGTCTGTATACGCTGGAGCTAGTGCTAACGAGCGGTGCATTTCTCTTCTTCTTCTGAGCAGCCTGTGCTTTCGTGGAGGCGGTACTGGTCGGGCGAGCTCGCGTCCTTCGTGGATGTGATAGCGGAGAACCCATACAAGGCCGCCGAGAACATTGTGCTGGCCTCTCTCCGCCACAACCTAAAGCCGGATGACATTACGGTCGTCGTGGCGAAGGTAGTCGTGATGGCGTCGAAGCTGTAGACCGCAAATAGGTGTCAAGTGGCTGCGACGCGTCCTCACATAGATAAATGCCGCTCTAAGAAAGTCGCGTGGGACTGAAATCTGCCGCTGCTGCGTGTACGTACCAATGTGTGTGTCCTCCGAATGCCTTCAACCCGAAGATACTTCCATGCGGACGTCATCAGCTGCACGCGGGCGTAATCGCACGGCACCTGGCGATCTCTTTGAGCCAGCCTTGACACTAAGCATATGCAGCACAGGAAGTCCATTGTTGCCATGCAGTTGACGCCGCTAGGCACATTGGCGCTGCGCTGCAGGTATGAATGGGTGTTGGTTGGTGCCGCCGTTGCATCCATGAAGTTGATACAGTGCACCCAATGTTGAAGTGGATCCACCGGCTGGGATTCGCCGATAGTCCAGCCGGTTTTCAGCCAGTCACGCCGCAGCAGCCAAGAAAATGGAACGATTGTCGACTTTCGAGTGATCGCATTCCCGCTTTTGACCCGCGCTGGCTTCGTCGACACGAGCGCGGCTATCTTCCGACCTTCATCGCGGAGATCGCGTCGAGGCGACGACGCCCTGAGACGAGCAAGCCCGGCCTCCTCTACCAGTCCACCACCGGCCCATGGCGTCGGACCAAGCGCGTGACCCAGCGAGGCGCGCTCCGCCGATCCGAGCGCACTCGGACTCGTCCGAGTCGTCCAGCGCACAGCGGAGGCGCGCGCGCCTCGGCAGTGCCCGACTCACCGCCACGCCGTCGCCGTTCCACAACCTGCTGACGGCCCGTCAGCGCCGACGCACGTTCAGCGGCACGTCGGGCGAGTTCAACGAGCTGCTGAACCTGGAGAGCAGCACCGCCAAGTCCGTCGAGGTGTTCCGCGGCGAGGCCCGCGGCATCCTGCACGGCATCTTCTTCGTGCTGCTGCTGCGCTTCGTGCTGGCGCTCGTGGTCACAGTGGGCACGCTAGGAGTGGCCGCTGTGCTGATCCTCATGGTCAAAGAGCCCGGCGCGTCCTTCACGAGCTACTTGCTCTTCTACTAGTGAGTAGGAGGCGCGGAAAGCTTGACGGGTGGCAGTATTTATTCGAGAACCGCTTCGGTGTCTCAAGGCTCAACTGCGTGGGCAGAGCGGGGTAGCTACGATCTTTTGTTAATAAAGCAATTCGGCTGCTTTGATGGGTTTCATATCGGTTCTACTGACTACAGCTACAATGACATCCCTTAGGACTCTGCGCCCTTCAAGGGTTTGCAAACGCGAAGCAGCACGTAATGCGGCATGCGCGGACACCTTCAACTTGGTGCTCGAGCTTCAAGGCTCAATACAGGCTTTCAGAAGCACGGTATTTCTAAAAGTACGTAGCGAAAAACACGTTGCCCTGATACGTGATTTTGACTACGGGGTTTCCGTGGTCGGCTGTTCAGCGATACGGAAAATCAAAAACCCGTGGCAAAACTACGTACGCGTAACCTTCGAGTGCACGCAACGTTTTTAAGCTGGAACCTCGGCTCAACAAACTTTAGCTATCAGCGCCTTCAATCGGCGAACACGTTGGCAGCGTATACGCACAACGCGCCGTCGCTGGACCACCTAGATGTAAGGTACAGTGAAGTAAAGTAAAAAAATTAATTGATGTCTTCTTTCTTCTTACTGTTAAAACCTTGTTCGTTCCGTGCCTTCGATGAATCTGTAGGTGCTGTATCCTGCGCTCATCACCATACACACACGTCTCGGTTGTCTGGAGCGTCTTCGTCTAATTTACCTGTGTTGGGTGTTGTAAGCAGGGATTGACAGTAACACGATTTTCTTCTGAATTACTATAGTCATATAATAGTAGAAGACAACAGGATACTATAGTAATAGTATCATCGGGTCTAGGATATCGACTACTACAGTACTATTAATACATTATTAGTAATGGAGCACCTCAGTCGCGTTGCTCCGTTGAGTTGCTTAGAGGGCCGACGCCCTGCGCCGACGTCCCCGCTCTCCCAATGGATCTAATGAATCTGTTGATTAATCGGGTCTAAGCCATCACGTGCAGGTCAGTCCAGCTCCCGTTCCGACAACACATCTTCAATGAGGAATACTATTATCATAGAACTGCATGAAGACGTCGTCATTGCATGTAAGAAGTGCCTTGCGATCTTTACATGCTCCCCCAGACCCCCGCAATAGAAGCCTAACTCCGAGTTGGGGCAACGGGTCCGTTCGCTGGAATGCTCGTCGCTGGGCCCGCCTACGCAAATACCGCGTGGCCCTGCTTCGCGGGCACCTCGCGCGGGTTTGCTGCGGCTACGCTCCTTGTAGTGGAATGTCAGTTGGCTACCCGCTGCCGACTGCAACGGACGACGGCGGGCTGAAGAAAGCCGCCGTCATGAAACTCACGCCCTGTGGCAAGAGTCGACGGAAACGAACATGTAGTGGTTACCTAGGTAGCACAGGGAGAGAAGCGCCTACATAGTATGCATGAAGAAGGTAGCGAGAAGCTAACCAACAAATACAATTTGCAATTCGCAATTTCAAGGGCAAGTCGACGACAGCAAGGCCGCCGACTTACAAGTCCAAGTTCAGCTTGTCGATGCTGAAGACACTACAAAGTATACTTTAGCTGTGTACGAACAGCATGTCAGAGCCAAGTCCTCCGAAGCGGAGCCGGGCCAACACGACTTCGGGAGTACAAGCACGAGTGTGAAGGCCAAGGGCGTCACGCTCCAAGACCCACCGCAAATCACAAGCTTCGCTCATGAAGACTTGGTGAGGTACGAGGAAGCAGTGGAGAATCGCTGCGCAGAGACCGGAGAATCGGTTGCATCTGTCAGACGCCCCGTGTTGAAGTCTATCAACAAGAGGCTGCTGAAGTTCTTGGCGGAGTTCGAGCTGCGTATTCCAGTGGAGAATATGACTGAGGAGAAACTGGTGAGCGCGATTGAAAACATCATCGGCAGCGTGACTAACGACACGATTCCTGATGTGATGGGGATCATGGCGTCCAACCTGAAGATGGATCTGAGTCAGAAGGACGTGAAGGCTAGGATCCTGGGGTACTTCGACTGTATGGAAGAGGTGATTGAGATGCATGGTCTTGCTGGGTGCCCGAAGGATAACGTGAAGCTGAAGTGTAAAGTGATTGTGGAGAATCTAAGACCGGCTACACTGAAGGAGCAAGTGAGGCGTGCACTCGAGTGTGATCCCAGCTTGAAGTCTGATCTTCACCGTCTTTTTGATCTCGTCTAGCAGGAAGCTATTCGGAACCAGCAGGCCTACGACATGTACCAGCACATGGGGAAACGTGACAACGGTGGTCGTGATAGCAAAAACAACAAGAAGCAGCCCGATAGTGCAAGTCCGCAAGGACGATCGACGACCAAGTATGAAGCCATCACACCAGAAGAGGGATGGTCTGCCACCCGGGGGTTGTTTGTACTGCAAGCGCAACGACCACTAGCTCGAGGACTGTCCGAGCGCCACTGAGACGAACAAGAAGGACGCTATGAAGACGTTCTTGGAGAACAAGAGACGCGGGAAGGAGGCGTCGACGGTGAAGCGCCTGGTTACGAATGACTCGCTTGGAGAGAGTGAAGTGATCTTCAATGACCTAGTGGCCATGCCCTATTGCCTCGACAACGGCACCATGTACAACGTCATCCCTCGCAGTATTGTGGATGAGTTGCAGCTTCTTGACCCGAGCGTGACACTCAAAGCCCTGGAGCCTCCTGTTCGAGGCAGGTCAGTTGGTGGTGCGTAAATTACGTGCACTCAGTCCGTGGATTTGGATATTGGTCTGCAAACAGTGGCTGGTAGAGTGAATATCCGCGGCCTGACGTGTGTGATCACCGAGACTGATGAGGATGAGTTCTTGCTCGGGAAGCGGACCCTAAGATCGCTCGGAATTGATGTTGACGAGCTTCTTGCAGGTCTCGTGGCCCAAGGTTCCTCTGATGTGGACCCGTTTGATGACGAACGGGACTACAAGGCGATCGCTCGACCCGATACGGATGCGATCAAGGCTCGGCTGCACGAAATGGTAGCTGAGGCTGTTGACAACGGATTTTCTGCCGATAGAAGCGATGAACTGTACGAAATTGTGTCGAAGCGAGATATCTGGCGCCTACAAATTAGTGATGACCCGCCTGCTCGCCTGCGTCCGTTCACTATCCGCCTCAAGGAAGGCGCGGAGTCGTATCGCTGTAAACCTCGGAAGTATGCTCCGGCTCAGCGGCAATTCCTCCGGGAGTTCAACGAAAAACTGATCCAGCTTGGCTGGGCGTACAAGAACCCGGAGAGTCGCTGGGCGTGCCCAGCCCTGCCAGTTCGCAAGCCTGGAAAAGAGAATGAGTGGCGACAAACAATCGATTTCCGTCCGGTGAACGCCCTCACGCAGCCGCTGACTGGTGGTATGACCAATAATGAGACTCACCTTGAAGATGTCAGGGGGAAGCAGCACAAGCAGACGGCTGACTTCATTAAGAGTTTCTTTCAACTGGCCCTAGCAGCTGGAAGTCAAGAATGCCACTGCCGATGGAGAAGTTGTCACGCCAACACGTCTACAGCAAGGATCGGTGGACTCCTCGCTTCAGTTCCAGCAATCTATTGAGAAGGTGATGCCAGAGAAGGACCTCCTTTTCAAAACCTTCTTGTGTGGATTGATGATCTGTTGATCTACGCGTCGACCATTGATGAGTTTCTCGAGGTCATCGACTTGATCTATTCACTGCTAGAAGAGTACGGCCTATTTCTAGGCATGGACAAGACGTGTCTGTACACCACCAGTGCGAAGTGGTGCGGTCGTGTATTGACCAAGGACGGAGTGGCGTACGACGCTGATAAGGTTCAGGCCCTTGTAGAAATGCCTCCACACGGCTGGAGCATTGCAGTAATTTCTTTGCGCTGCTGGCTGGATGCGAAGTAGCAATTTCTTTGCGCTGCTGGCTGGATGCGAAGTAGCCTCGTTGACTTCACTAGAACATGCAAGCCACTTCAAGACCGATTCGACAAAGAATTAGCTGGAACCCGCCGAACGAAGAAGGTTGCAGGCAGCATTGTGGAGAAGTGCTGAATAAGAATTGTTCTCTGAGAAAGGCGGCAGGGCCGATCGACTGGAAGTATGGGAAATCAGCGATCGAGAGACAGGCAGCAAGGATCTGTGGATCAGAGGGAGTTCTTCGAGAGATCTCAAGTGGCCCGATGACGCCGGCGCGTAAGGCAGGACATGTGGCAAGCCGGATTGTGGATGATCGTGCTCGAACCGTGGCGTGATTCGGGGTCGACCCAAGCCTCGATCGACGACAGATCTCGCAGATCTAGGACGGCCGAGGACGGAAGATGATGGATCGGCGGCGTGCGGCAACCGGCACAAGTCGTCGATCGAGAGTTGATCGCCGATCGCCGATCGGGAGTCGATCGTGGATCGGGAGCCAATCGTGGATCGGGAGCCAATCGTGGGTTGATCGGGGATCGGGGATCGACCACGATGGAATGCACATGGAGGACGAAGTCAGGACAAGAATCCAGTGGTTGTGGAGTTGTAGGATGGTAGATGAGATGGTAGCGGTAGAGAGACACCAGCTAAACATAAATCAGAACGCAATTTGCACAGAAGACCACAAGTACCCTCAAGTCGTCAAGTCCCAGGAACTACATTGGCCTCGGCAAGCGTTGACACTTCGGGTAGTGAACTAGCGGTACGGTTAAGACTGGATTAATACATTGGCCAGCTTGACCTACTCTAGTGATCTTTCTCTCGTGTGCAAGTCCTCGATCGACCGGATACTGCTTGGCCGGCGATCGCTGCGTCTCTCAATCGACCTCGATCCCGCTATAGGAAGCGGCAATCAACTCAGGAAAGGAAGGAACATACCCGGAAAGGCAACTACAGGCCGTGGATCGACTCCAGGACGACCGATCGGAGCGAACAACCCTCGATCGGAGCGTATACTCGGACGCAGAGCGAAGATTCCCGCGCTGCTCCACAACCTATCCCCGCGTCACGCCAAGACATTCGATCTTCACCAAGTGCTGCATCTTCGGAGCCCCCAGAGAGCAAATCCAGCCCGCCGACGTGTACACAAGGTGAGAACAAGTTCAGCCGATCATGGATCGTTGGGGGACCCCCTCCGTTAGTCGGTGTCTGGGCGCTGGTGGGAAGCTCGATTAGGCCTTAACCAGATTTTGGCCGATCCCGCTACACCACAATGGTGCGCGTGCCCGGATCTCTTGGGGACTGCGGATTTCACCGTGAGTCCGTAGAAGATGCGCAAGTGAAGAAAGAACCAGGGGAAGAGGCGTCGTCGGATATCGGATCGACGAAGACGCTGCTGAACAAAACGAGATCCGCGGATCGACAGAGTGCTCGGAGGACTTCTGTCGACGGAATCGAGGGCGATCTGGAAACAGATCTAGAAGACAAACCTCAACATCCTCCCCAGGTCCCTTCGGGGACCCCGGTGGATCTTGGTGCGAACCGAGCTTCACTAACAAAACAAACTAAGGCGGGATCGGACCGATACGCGTTCGCTGACTCGCCGATCAGGCTCGATCTGGACTACCTGGACGCGATCGCGGACAAGGACCAGATCGTGAGGAAGAAGCTGAGAGCGCCAGGCCTGGACGACGAAGATCCCAGACCGTCGGCGCTCGACTGGTCCGAGGCTGACCTGGATCGTCAGTATCACTTGAAGGAACTGCGACACTTCTTGCGTCAAGATCCCGTCATGGTGATCTTGCGGCCAGAGCAGATCGACGACCCGAAGGACCCGATCTCGACCCCCCCCCGAGTGACGGACAACAAGCTGATGGCGGTGAAGAACCTGCTCGGGCTGTTGAAGGAAGCCGGCTTCGTGGCTGGCGCCTTTGAAGCGAATGATCTTTTCGATCAGGATCTCGATGTGATCCAGACAGCGATCCAGACATTGGTCGACAAGTTGAGACCTTTGGTCGACGTGATCGGACAGTCCGGACCTGAAGGTGCCAGATCTAGTGTCGCCAGCTCCCGCGTCGTCGCCGCGGATGGAGTCCACTGGGTACCGATCGTCGTCTCCTTATGTCTCCGCAGCGGAACACGTATCAGATACGTCGTCTGAACCTCAACGGATGTCCCTCGGCCCTTCAGGATCTGCGATGCTGGACGCACGATCACGGAGTCAACGTCAGGAACGCATGTGATCAGGACCTCGGAAGCAGAAACCCAAGTCGACCGATCGGACCACCAGTGCTACCGGATCAGATGAGTCGAATGGCAAACTGGAGTCTTACTTTCAGGCTGCGATGGCTTGATTTCTGAAGGAACAACAGACCACGGTGGTAACATCTACTCCAGTGGTCGACGACAACGTTGGATCGCGGGACGTGGAGATGGAATCAGCCGGATCGCCGTATCAAGGTCTCTCTCAGTGGGAATACGATCCGGACGACATTGATCTACCGAGTTCGGCCCCTGCTGCGGTGGCCACCGCTGCCTCAGGATCCACTGGGTCCTCATTGATCCAGCGTGTGCGGATTTCGGCGATGTCCGATCTTAAGGAGTTTAGTGGCAAGGATCAGGACGAAGACCGCGCCCGATCGTGGATCAACAAGGTAAAGTCGGCGTTCCTGCGAGATCAGGCTACGGACGAAGAGAAGTGCCTGACCTTTGCTGATCTACTGACGGGCCCGGCGAAGAACTGGTACCGCCAGCTGGGCCGATCGACGCGGAACAAGTGGAGCGATCTACTCCGGAGTTTCCAGATCCAGTATTGTGGCCTGGGAGTATCGGTCGCTTGGCAGTATTACCATTCTCGCAAGTGATCAGATGAATCGCCGTTGGAGTACCTCTATCGACTGAAGGTGGCGGCTCTGCGTGCGAGATTGAAGATTAAGGACGGAGATTCCAAGGCCCGCCGAGAACATGTCGAACACTTTATCGAGACGCTGGGCGATCTGGAACTAACCGATCAGCTCACCCTACTCCGGCTTGCGGACGCGGAAGATCTGGAGGAAGTCCTGCGCGCTCGAGAGCGCGCGAAGAGCAGACAGAAGCGATCTGCCTTTGGATCGAAGTATCGCCAGAAGGTTCCGACCTCAGCACCAGCTGCTGCAACCAAGCGGGCAGTGCGTGCAGTTCAGATCGCGAGCCAGGAATCTGGATCGGACACAGGATCGGAAGGATCGGACTCGGAGGGTGATCTACGTCGCGTTTACCTAGCGTCGGCCGATGACAAGTCTCGCAACGCTGGGGGCGACTCGACGAAGCCGGATCGGAGCGATCAAGCCGCTGCTCACACTGTGGATCGCGGAAACACACCGATCTCGATTGTTGGAGACGTTTGATGTGCGAGAAGTGTGGCAAGAGAGGTCATCCGGCGGATCGTTGCCTGTTTGTACGCCGTGGATGTGGTGAACTACACGAGATGGGCAAGTGTCCGATGGAGGAATTCTACAACCAGATCCGTCAATGGTTCAACCCGGTGAAGCACGCTGGCATGTTGCCCGCGATCGCCGAGAAGATGTTAAACTAGGACGCTCGCCGGGTTGGAATCCGGTACGAGCCGAGCGTTCTAGGTACTGCATCTATGCATTCGTGAACAAGAACACGGTAGATCGAGTAAGTGGACGGACTGATCTACGCGGTAATACATGTGATCTGCATGCGAAATTTGCCGCCAAGGTCTTAAGTCTACATCGATCGGACGACTTCAGCCGTTCTGACGCCGAAGTGTCCTTGGATCTCCAGTCTGGAGAGACGCGGGGCTATTGGAAGCAACGCAGACCGGAGGAATGGTTCAAGCCAGCTGATGGAGAAGTGACGACCGAGCTCCCGGAGCATGATCGTGATCGAAGTCTGCCTCGCGTCAGCGAACACCGCAGATCTGGCGATGTGGTGCCCGATCTTCTCCCTGGGGAGTCCAGAGGGTACTGGAAACATCATTCGCCAGGTAAGTGGTTCCGTCAGGCCAAGATCACTGGCAAGATCAACAATGAGAAGTCGATCTTACTCTTAGACACCGGCGCCGAGGTGTCCATCGTGGACACCGCCTTTGCTCGTAAGGTGGGGTGCTATGTCGACACGAGTCAGAGCCAGGAATGTGTGGGGATTGGCGAAAGCGTGTACATGACGGAAGGAAGGACCAGGATCAAGGTTACGCTGGCGGGATCGCTGGTGTATTTCTTCGATATCTGGGTTGGCGATCTATCAGGACAAAAGGCGATCCTGGGTATGGACTTTATGGTTCCAGTGGGGATCCGCCTCGATCTTGCGGACGGCTCTATCTGTCTCCCCGACGAAGTCAAGATCCAGCTTAGCGGACGGCGTCAGCTGTACAACGACAATGTCAGACACGTGTGTGTAGATCAGGGAATGCCGCTACGAATGAAGGTGACGGATCGAGAAAAGCTATGGGTCACCCGTGGAGATCGTTGGGTGCCGACCGTGGTCCGAGGACCCGGCAGGATCAGATATCTCCAGGTTACCAACATCAGCGACAAAGACCTCGTTTTGCATCGGAATGAACGGATCGGGATGTGGCTGGCTGGAGATCGGATACCCCGAATCCCAGGATATGTGTCGATCGGATCTCGTCGATAGATGGAATGGCAGAATCTAGCCTTTCAAGCCACGGCAGATGACCGGCCGACGAACCAGGAGGCACCAACGGGACCTCCGGTACCTGCCGTCGAGCGACCTAATTATCCAACGCCCCGAGCCATTCTCCAGAGACGCCAGATATCCCCGATCGTCGATCAGTCGACGGGTCCACCCGATCCAACAAGCGAACCGGAGGCAATGAGCCCTGATCCGGGGGCGGCCGTCGTTGATACTCTTAGATCAGGGGGCGGACCGTTGCAGGACGATGATCGCGTGACAGAGGAGTCGGGGTCGCCTGCTTCAACTGTCCTCGTCGGAGATCCACCAGACCCACGGTCGGATCCTGTTGAGTCGGTGTGTGAACCTTCCGGATCGGAGGAGGAATGCTCTCCAAAGCGGAAACAGGTGGAGCCGGACTTCCAGCCTTCGCCGATCACGGATCAAGCGTGTGCACCGATAGATGACGCGAAGCCGCAAGATGATCGTGCTGGCGATCCAGAGGGGAAGCCAGAACATGTGGATTCCGGTGGTAAAGCAGCTGAGAAGGGCGAAATCGTGCCCCCTCATTTGCCATCGGCCGATCAGGTCGACGGTTGTGCCGTCGAACCAGATCTTGGGGGCGGGAGTACCGATCGGACACACCCTGTTGCGGTCTTAGCTGTGGAAGAGTCGAGATCAAGTGATGATACAGCAGTCGACGGTGTTCCTGCATCTGAACGACTGCCGCAAGTGGCTGAAGACTCATCGATCGTTGGAGGTGATCAGCTGGAAATGGAGGCCAAACCCACTTCAAATCGGGACGACCTCATTGCATCCGAACCAGATCGAGATGTTGGCGCTGATGATCAGGTCCATTACCACGAGGGCCGGAATCTGTCAGCAGAAGATGTCGAAGGTGAATTAGCTGTGCTTCCTGAAATTGTGATCTCGACGACGGATGAGGTAAAGATCGATGATATCAAGGTGGGAGATCTGGAGTTCAACACCCTGGAGGAGATCGATCGGCTGCGAAAGAAGATCTGGCACAGGAATCACCTGCTGATCGGCAAGGGCAATGCACTTCCCCCAGCAGCCCAGGGCGTCACCTGCGACATCGACGTGGGCGACGCGAAGCCGATCACTCAACGTGTCCGGAAAGTTGCCCCTCAGTTCGTGGAGAAGGTGTCCGAGCTGATCAAGGGATTATTGTCAGCCAAGATGATTCGGAAATCTCGATCACCATGGGCCTCGCCGATCGTCGTGATCACCAAGAAGAACGGCGTGGATATCCGACTCTGCATAGATTATCGGCTCGTCAACAGTCTAACCAGGCTGATGGTATATCCGATGCCCTTGATCAACGATTTGCTGGAGGATCTGGATAAGGTACTCTGGTATTGCTCTTTGGACATGGCTAGTGGATTCTGGGTGGTGACAATGACCGATCGAGCTCGTGCGATCTCGGCCTTTATCACCCACATGGGTCTGTTCGAGTGGAACCGGATGCCGTTCGGCTTGAAGAACGCTCCTCAGATCTACCAGCGACTTCTGGACGACGCGTTTTATGGGTTCACCAGGATCCCGCGATCGTCAGACTGTGAAGTCACTACGGACTTGATCGAGTCAGGAGAACCAGAAGATCCGGGGCGTCCATCAGTGCTAGGTCGCAGATTGTACATCGATGACATTCTTGTGACGGCCGGATCATGGGATGAGCTGTGCGATCGTGTGGGTCACCTGCTGGACGCTTGTGATAAGTGGAACATCTCGATCAGTGTGGAGAAGAGCTCTTGGGGGATGCGTAGGTGGACTATCTGGGACATCGTGTGTCGAACGACGGGCTAGAGGCCAATCCGAAGGATCTCACCGCTCTGACTGATCTGCTGTTCCCCGGATTGCTCCGATCGATGCAGTCGTTCTTGGGCAGCCTCAATTATTACAGCCGTTTCTTGGAAGATTACGCGATCTACGCGGCGATCCTGTACGAACTGCGCGAGGTGGACTTCGCCGAGCTGAAGAAACGCCCCGATCTGCGCCAGATCCTAGATCGTCAAGTGCCGAACTTAGTGACTACAGACCCAGTGGACCCGGATCGGACTCCATCAGTTCCCGAAGTCGGTGTCGCCGATGAACGCTGGATCCGTGCTCATCGTGCCTTTTCGACCCTGAAGATGAAGATCGCGACGACACCGATCCTGCGGTACTTCGATCGCGATCGGACTCCGGTCGTGATTGTGTATGCGAGTGACTGGGCGATCTCGGCTGCATTGATGCAGGAACACGACCAGATCTATCATCCCGTTACCTTCGCCAGTCGAACGCTGAAGTCGAATGAATTGAACTATAACGTGGTGGAGAAAGAAGTGCTGGCGTTGTTACGGATTCTGGACCTGAACTATAACATGCTGGTTGGACGATCGATCCGGGTCTTGCTTGACCCGACACTCGACGTTGGCGTGGCTGTTCCGATCGCCCGGTCTTCAAGGCCGATTGGGTCAGTGGGCTGCACTCCTATCGCCCTGGACACTGGAGATCACGAAG